TCAAAATACAGGATATTATTTTTGGTGCTGCTGTTTAGCTCTTATTGCCCTTGGAGTAATTGCAGGGCTCCCACGTTGCAAATAACAAACAGGGCTTGTAAATGCTGCCCTTGTTGTATGGGGCAGGGAGCCAAAAGCTTAGAATAAGACTTTCCTCCAAGGAATTATTTGACCCACAAGGCTGGCAAGGTGTTGCGTGAAAAGGGTTCAAGATCTAATCCCAGCAAAGGAGAGCTAAACTAAAGGCAGGAGAAAGGGCTTGTGAGGACACCACAGAAGGGGCAACATGCAGGCTAGCAAAACTGAATCCACATCGAAGCCCAAGTGATAAAGACAGAAAGCAGTGAATGAGACACACACAGAGAGAGATGAAAAATGGATGATTTTTTGAAAGAAAGAAAGAAAAGGAAAGAAAAAAGAGATAGAGAAGAAAGAAAGAAAAAAGAAAGAAAAAGAAAGAAAGAAAGAAAAAAGAAGAAAGAAAGAAAAGGAAAGAAAAAAGATAGAGAAAGAAAGAGAAAGAAAAAGAAAGAAAGAAAGAAAGAGAAGGAAGGAACTGATGGAGAGAGAAAAAAATGAAAGAACAGACAGAAGGGAGGGAGGAAGAAAAGGGAGGGAGGAAAAAGAGAAGGAAGGAAAGAACAAAGAAGGGAGGGAGGGAGAAAAAAGGAAGGAACAGACAGAAGGGAAGGAGGAAGAAAAGAGGGAGAAAAAGAGAAGGAAGGAAAGAACAAAGATGAAAGAAAGGGAAGGAGAAAAAAGATTGAAAGAACAGGCAGAAGGGAGGGAGGAAGAAATGGGAGGGAGGAAAAAGAGAAGGAAGGAAAGAACAACGAAGGAAGGGAGGAAAAATGAAAGAAGAGACAGAAGGGAGGCAGGAAGAAAAGAGGGAGAAAAAGAGAAGGGAGGAAAGAACAAAGATGAAAGAAAGGGAAGGAGAAAAAAGATTGAAAGAACAGGCAGAAGGGAGGGAGGAAGAAATGGGAGGGAGGAAAAAGAGAAGGAAGGAAAGAACAACAAAAGAAGGGAGGAAAAATGAAAGAAGAGACAGAAGGGAGGGAGGGAGGGAGGAAAAAGGAAGGAAAGAACAAAGATGGGAGAAAGGGAGGGAGAAAAAAGATTGAAAGAACAGACAGAAAGGAAGTAAGGAAGAAAAGGGAGGGAGGAAAAAGAGGAAGGAAAGAACAGAGCAGGGAGGCAGGGAAGGAGGAAGGAAGGAAAAGACGAAAAAAAAAGCATGTTACTCCCTCAGCTGGCCTCACATGCTTTTGGTATGTCCTGGAGTGCACTGTTTTCACTTGCAGAAGGGAGTTTCTAGTCCTTATGACCGAAACTGGGTTGGCCACTCGGTTAGCTCGAAAGACTCAGAATTCCATAAACGATCACCGCCTCCCTCAAACATTATATATAAAGAGCTGGAGAAAGCTAAGAGTTCTTAGTTGGTGGCTGACTTTATACCTGCCAGCATTTTGCTTCTTGTCGCCACCAAAAATGAGTGGCGTCATTTTTTTTGTGACCTCACACAACCACTGTCTTCTCTGAAACTCCTGGGATTCGTGCTTCAGAAGTGACGGAAACATCCTTGCAGGGCAAGTCCAACTCGTCCCTGGCTGTGCACTACCCACCTGCAACTTGGAAAGAAATCTCAGCATTTAATTGGGTCACCGGGGCCTTTCTAATGCAGTGAGTAACAGGGCTTAAGGGCGCCGAATGCAACGTTCAAATCCCTGTTTACAATCCAGCTTGCTGAATAGCCTAAGATCACTTGTGATCTCTCGATCTTCCCCACCCCTGCAAGGTTGAGGCGAGGTGAGAGGTTTCTGGGGTGTGAGGAGAATAGAGGAGGAACACCTAAAATTGCCTGACAGTGAGAACAATTAATAACAATTAATAATGTTTTAAACGATGGGCCAAGTTACTTAATTATTTTAAATCTATTTTAACTGAGTCCTTCGGGAGAAGGGCGGTATAGAAATAAAATTATTTATTTATTTATTATTTATTTATTTAACTTTTGTATATAAAGTGTTTTACTTGGCTGTTCACCGCCCTGGGTCCGAAAGGAGAAGGGCGGTATAGAAATTTGAAAAATAAATAAATAAATAAATAAATAAATAAATAAATAAATAAATAAATAAATAACAATTATTTGATAAATAATAATAATACTAATAAATGCCTCCAGAAGTTGTGAATCAGTGGTGGGTTTCAATTTTTTTTTACTACCGGTACTGTGGGTGTGGCTTGGTGGGCGCGGCAGGGGAAGGATACTGTAAAATCTCCATTCCGTCCCCAATCCAGGGGAAGGTTCCTGCAAAATCCCCATTTCCTCCCGATCAGCTAGGACTCGGGAGGTAGAGAATAGATGGGGGGCGGGGCCAGTCAGAATTTTTACTACCGATTCTCCGAATTACTCAAAATTTCCGCTACCGGTTCGTCAGAACTGGTCAGAACCTGCTGAACCAACAACCCTCTATGCATGGCGGAGTGCCAGAGCGCTGGAGTGCTGGAAATCCAAAGACGAGTTGGCTGACATATGCATGCTTGTTTTTTGGCCATTTTTGGCTGTTTTTGGCCATTTTTCAGGCAGTTTTCAGGCCAGTTTTTGGCCTAATAAGGACCTGAAAATGGCTGAAAAATGGCCTGAAAATGGCCCGAAAAACACTCTGAAAAAGTTCCCCCAAAGTTCCAAAAACGACCCAGAAAATGGCCTGAAAAAAGTCCTAGTTTTAGCCATTTTTCGGGCTGTTTTCAGACCATTTTTCAGGCCATTTTTGAGCTGTTTTCCATGCTGTTTTTAGGTGGTTTTTGGGCCATTTCCAGGCAGTTTTTTGGGCAGTTTTCAGGGAGTTTTTGGGGCGTTTTTGGTGCGAAGACCAGCTGGCTAGCATGCCAGAAACCAGAAGAGCAACTGGAGAGGGCTCTGTGTGCCACCCCTGGCACGCATGCCATAAATTCACCATCACGGGTCTAGGGTTTCCTGCTTGAGAAGGGGGTTGGACTAGAAGACCTCCAAGGTCCCTTCCAATTCTGTTATTCTGTTTGAGAGCACTACATGCTGTAAACCAGGATGTCCCAACCTTGGCCTCTTTAAGGCACATGGACCTCAACTTGTAGAACAAGGCATCCACAAGCCCTTTGAGACGGGCTGCAGAGACCACCATGGAGTCGCCAGCAGATGAAGTGGGCCTAGACTTCTAACGAACTATTTTGCACCAATCATGGAGTGTGTTAATTATGGGAAGAGGTGAGAAGCTGTTGAGGAAGAAAGGAAAAAATGGGAAGTTTTTCTATACCAGGTAGAGCCATGTTGGTGGATCGTTGCTGGAGAAGTCATGTGAGCTGGGTGGAAGATGAAACTAAAATGGAAGGCGGCACATTGACAGCCGAGAATGTGCAGGAGGAGAACTTGTGGCAATCAAAAAGGTCACCTGGATTAGGAGAAGCAGTGACAAATGGGCAAGAAGGCTAAGAGCATGATCCTTAGGTTAGGAAGTCCATAATTTAAAGATTAGGATCCTCAGCCATTCCTCTCCTTCCTCCCTCACCCCAGGATAATAATGTAGGCCAACTTCTGAGCACAAGAGTCGTATGACTTTTGAGAACCCAATGAAACCTTCAGCTGTGCCAAATTGGAGGGTCAGGTTGGGAAACATCCATCTGAATCTGTGGCTTGAAGCACAGAGGGGTTGTATCTTCTGGAAGGCTTAGCCCAGCTGCTTTGGGGCTTCCCCGCATCTTCTGAACATGCTCATAAGACACATGTGTCAGGTTGGGTTGCAAGAATGATATCTCTGCATGCCGTTGACCGGTAGGGAAATGGAAACAGCCACATTGAGCCCTGGAGAAGACCGGTGGCCTCAACGCTTCAAGGACCAGATTTGACGGGTCCTTGGTGCTCTCTGAGCTCGTTTTTTTTTTTCTTGCAGACAATTCATTACTCAAACTAGGTACCCTCATCATGAAGTTATCTAATTTGGGTAATGAAAGATCTGCAAGAAAACAATCCAGCTCAGAGAGCACCAAGGACCCATGAGCCGCAGTGGCGCAGTGGTTAGAGTGCAGTACTGCAGACAAGTTCTGCTAACTGCTGGCTGCCTTCAATTTGGCAGTTCGAATCTCACCAAGGTTGACTCAGCTTTCTATCCTTCCAAGGTGGGTAAAATGAGGACCCAGATTATTGGGAGCAATAAGATGACTCTGTAAACTGCTTAGAGAGGGCTGGAAAGCACTGTGAAGCGGTATATAAGTCTAAGTGCTATTGCTATTGTCCTTCCTTCCTTCCTTCCTTCCTTCCTTCCTTCCTTCCTTCCTTCCTTCCTTCCTTCCTTCCTGTTAGAATGCAGTATTGCAGGCTAATTCTGCTGACTGCCAGCAGTTCGATCCTGACCAGCTCAAGGTTGACTCAGCCTTCCATCTTTCCGAGGTGGGTAAAATGAGGACCCAGATTGTTGGGGGCAAGAGGCTGACTCTGTAAACCACTTAGAGAGGGCTGTAAAGCACTGTAAAGCGGTATATAAATCTAAGTGCCATTGCTATATTCCTTCCTTCCTTCCTTCCTTCCTTCCTTCCTTCCTTCCTTCCTTCCTTCCTTCCTTCCTTCCTTCCTTCCTGTTAGAATGCAGTATTGCAGGCTAATTCTGCTGCCTGCCAGGAGTTTGATCCTGACTGGCTCAAGGTTGACTCAGCCTTCCGTCCATCCAAGGTCAGTAAAATAAGGACCCAGATTGTTGGGGGAAGTAAGCTGACTCTGTAAACCGCTTAGAGAGGGCTGTAAAGCAGTATATAAGTCTAAGTGCTATTGCTATTGCTATTTCAACCCTGAGCCACAAATATTCTCCTTTGCTGGTCTAACTTTGCCTAGCCCTGGTTCCAAGGCTGAGACAGTGGAAATTTTAGGTCACCCATTGGCAGTGTGGAAGACCCTGATCCATTATGCCAGTCTGATGCCACTTGCTTCTTCCATATATGCTGGTGGAGGTTCACCCACATCTTCCTACCTGTATGAGTCAGCGGCCAGGGACCATCAATGAAGACAACATAGCCAGAAAGCAAAGTGACCATCAAGCCGTGTAAGAAAGTGACAATTCGACAGCTCCATTCTGCGCCGCGATGCCTGTTTTGATACCAAAATCCCAAGTAGAGAAGAAGCCAAGCTAGTGTACTACTGATGACTTTGAGAAGGATGGGCGACATGTTCTTGTAGCTAAAAGAGAGAGAGAAAGAGATAAATAATATGCACATTAGTCCAATGCAGGGGTGAAATCTACTTACCTTCCCAAGCGGTTCGGAAGTGCACGTGACCCGCGTGTGCGTCAGGTGTACGCTTCGACCCTCTGCGCATGCACAGAGGATAAAAACCAGGTTACTTCCTGGTTAAAACCAGGAAGTAACGACCCGGGCAGGTCGGCAGAGCCTCGTGCCACTATCGCTACCAGTTCTCCGAATCACCGGCAGCCAGCCCTACCGGTTCGGCTGAACCGATCCGAACTGGGAGCATTTCACTCCTGGCCCAATGACAATGAAGCCTGCTGGCTGGGGAATTCTGGGAGTTGAAGTCCACACATCTTAAAATGGCCAAGGTTTATGACGCACTGATCTAGACAATTGTGTCTTCCTGCTTTCCTCCCATTGTCCTCTCTCTCCTATTTTTCTCATTTTCTCCTCTTTTTCCTCTGCATAATTTAGCTGAAGTAGTTAGATCAGGGGTGTCAAACTCAAGGCCTGGGGCGGCTTAGATCTGGCCTGCAGGGCCACCCTGGAAACAGCAAAGGATTGGCCTGCAGTGCCTTTGCCAGTGAAAATGGAGCCTACTAGAGCCACGGGCAGCCCTCCCAAGCTCTGTTTTCACTGGCAGAGGGTTGCAGGAGGCCGTCGCAACTGAAAACGGAGCTCGGGAGCCTGTTTTCACTGGCAGAGTGCTCAGGCCACCACAGGTGCTCCTGACATGAGTGATGTTGAGCTGGCCATGCCCACCTTGGCCACGGCCCATGAGCAACCCCGAGGTCAAACACAAGCCTGATGTGGCCCTTGACGCAGGGGTGTGTTCTGCCCCAGCTCCGGATTCCTGAGGATATTGACACACACCAACGGTCCTTATCAAATTTATTAAGTAGCAAGAATAAACCAAAGTCCGGCAAAGGTTGGCAACCAACCCAGAAAACAAGATACGATAAGACTTTTCCAAAAATGCTCTGATGATAATCACAAGTTGTTTCCAGCAAGAAACTTACTAATGGTGTGTGACTTAAATAGGCTAAGGGAGTGGCCAATTATCCTCAAGCCTTACTCTCAAGGAAACCTTCTCTCCTGAGTAGCCACTCCTGCCTTTTGGCAGCCCTGCGTGCTCGAGCATTGAGAAGAGGCTCCTCCACTTCGCTCTCTCCACTTGAAGGAGCCTCTGGAGGTTCTGAAGGCCCTGGCTGAGTCTCTGCTTCTGGCACCACATCCTCTTCAGCCTCCTCACTGTCCGACATGAGCACCGGCTGTGCAGGCTGCTGGCGCGACACCACACCAGCCCCCTCGTCATTGGGATCAGCCACGATCCGCGCGGGCCGCTGGCGGGCCACAACCGGGTGAAATCCAGCAGGTTCTGACAGGTTCTGGAGAACCGGTAGCGGAAATTTTGAGTAGTTTGGAGAACTGGAAAATACCACCTCTGGCTGGCCCCAGAGTGGGGTGGGAATGGAGATTTTGCAATGTCCTTCCCCAGGAGTGGGGAGGGAATAGGGATTTTGTAGTATCCTTCCCCTGGAGTGGAGTGGGAATGGAGATTTTGCAATATCCTTCCCCCAGGAGTGGGGAGGGAATGGGGATTTTGCAGTATCCTTCCCTTGCCACACCCACCAAGCCACACCACGCCCACCAAGCCACGCCACAGAACCAGTAGTAAAAATATTGAGATTTCACTACTGCCTCAATGAAATTGAGTTTGACCCCCCCCCTGAGTTAGATGATTGATAGATAGATAGCAAGATAGCCAGTTTTATGGTACTTTGATATAAAAAAAGTTACAATTAAAAAGGTAAATGCTAATGCAAACTAAAAAAAATAATAATAGTAAAAGCAGGAAGCGGAGCAAGGAAAAACAGAACAAGAACAGAAAAGAAAATAAGAATTCAGTAAGGAAAAAGAAATACGGAAAGAAATCATTTCCTCCTTCCTCACAACAAGTATAAACAATTAACGTATCTCCTTCTCTTAAATTAAAACAAATAATCTCTTCTTTCCATATCTTATCTATAAACAAAATCTTAAAATCTCCCTGTTCGGTCGTGATCAGCAGTAGTCCATTATGGGTTAAGAACCTATCTAATTTAACCTTGATCAAATAAACCAATTCTATATTATTTCTGTTCACTTTTAACAATCCTAGAACTTGGCTTTTTTCCCTCCATTTTTTCCTTTGTCCCCTGTTCCAAATTCTTCAAAATTTTAGCAAGCCTCTTCTGTAAATCCAATATAGAAAAAAACACTGAGGTTACTTAATTTTATTATTTTTACATCCATTTTAATTATGGTTGTTGTTGTTTTTTGTATGCCCAGTGTAGCATCTTCTTCCATAACATTCTTGTAACCTATCATTTTAAAATCCATTTTTACTTCTGTATCAATCTTGCCCAGTACCATGTGTTCCTTTTAATAACATCTAGCAACATTTAAGTATTATTCTCCTTCAATTATAATATTTAGTTCCTTGTGGTTCCCCTTAATATCCAACCTTCAAAGACTCATCCTATCTTTGTTTAAAGAGATTTTTTTTTAAAAATTCCCGCAGGAAAATTATTTTAATTAATTGCAAAATAATCTTATTTTGTATTCATCAGGATCCTTAGTCTGTGTACAGTTCCAAAATCAAAATTCTAATTCCTTTTTTTCATGTTCATTCAAAAAGTATTTTTAAGTCCGTAAGCTTGTATTTTAAATGTCTTTCGCTAAGGGTTGAAGGAAACTCAGACAGGGCTATAAATCTTGTTGACTCAAAGGGCTAATGGCTGGAAAGCAATTAACAAGCAATTTCCAAAAGTGGTTAGTAAGGAAATTATGCAATCCAAATATCCTTGAAAGGTGGGTTGAGCAAAATAATTATTATCTCCCAGAACGCTAAACCCATCAGAAAACTCTTGTCTTGCAGTCTCTTCCTGATAGCAACTACACAGAGCACTAGTGGGCAATCTCAAATCCTTTCCTTGTCCAGAGAGGAATTTCTGTAAGAAGAACTGATCCACATGATAAGTTGTTGTTTTTTTTGCTAGAAATGCAGGCATCCTGGAACTTCAGTCCATCAGCTAGAAACCAATTAAGTGAGCAGTCGACTCCCCCAAATCTCTAGGGCCATTCAACAACTTTACTCTCTTCTATTCGATAACTTTACTTTAGGTCAGTGATGGCTAACATTTTTGCCACCGCGTGCCAAAAGCGTGGGGAGTATGGGTTTTTTTTTGCACATATGCCCACACCCATAATTGTGCCCCCCCCCCCTGTGCATGCGTACGTGCCTCTCGGTGCTCACCCCGCTTTTGGCACACAATGGCACGGTGGGCCCGTTTTTCACCTAGAGGCTTTCTAGGAGCCTGGGGAGGGTGAAAACAACCTTCCCCCCCCTGGAGGCCCTCCAGAGGCCGGAAATGGCCCATTTGCCAACTAGGTGGGACCGGAAGGCCCGTTTTTCGCTCTCCCTATGCTCCAGAGCCTTTCTAGGAGCCTGGGGAGGGCAAAAACGCCCCCCCCCGATGCCCTCTGGAGGCCAGAAACAGCCCGTTTCCCAACTTCCAGAATTCGGCAAACTGAGCTCGCCTGCCCACCGATATGGCTCCGTGTGCCACCCGTGGCACGTGTGCCATAGGTTCACCATCACAGCTGTAGGTCCTCTGTTCTAAAACTTGCATTCTATGACTTTAATTTCTTTAATTTCCAAAACCTTCATTATTGTCTAAAAACGTTATACACAATTAACATGTCAGGAGAGTTGACCCCTGTCTCCAGGTACTCACCAGCAAAGCCCCAAAATCCTTGAAACAGAAAAAAGAGGACGAATCCAGGAAATGATTTAGCAGTCAGCTATGAGTGATCTCCTCTGTCGCTGATTGTTGACGAAGTTCTGGAAACCCCCCAACACCTGTCTGCCTGCAAATCTTCCTCCACAACCCTAAGAACAGCTGGACCTCCAAACCTATCGATACGAAGGTGGAATGCCTTCACGAGGAGGATGTCAGCTTCTGGAAATGAAAACTGGATGGTTGGTATCTCTGCTCTCTTGTTTTTCTTTATATAATGACTATCTCTCTCAATCACCAGGTCCAAACCAACCAGATTCTTTTGTAATGACACTTCAGAAGCATCCGAGTTGAGTTCTTCAGATTGGCCGTGACTCTTTCTCTGATGATGGGAGTTTCCTTCCTTCTTCTGCTGAGGAATTAGTAGCACCATAGCTGTCTCATGACACTAGTGTGCAAGCACTTTGCAGGAGTAGTCCAGGATCAGGTGCTGAATACCCAAAATACTTCTAGAAAAAGGGAGGATGTCTAGTTAGAACTAGAGCGGTTCTGAGATGGTTATGGCACAGCTGTTCCATCTTGACAGAATCTTTCCTCCTTCCCTCCCTCCCCTTCATCTGGTTTCTTTCCTTCTTTCCTTCCTTCCCTCCCCTTCATCTAGTTTCCTTAATTTAATTTAATTCAATTTATATGCCGCCCCTCTCCAAGGACTCAGGGCGGCTCACAAACATTCCAAAAAGTCATTATAAAAAAACATTTAAAAATTAAAAACATTAAAAACTCATTCACGCCATTCATGGCGGATCTCGCCGGATCGCAAGAGCGAGATCAGCCCCAGGCCCCCCTGCCGGAAAAGCCAGGTCTTCCGCTTTGCGGAAGCCAATAGGGTGGGGATGGTCCGGACCTCAGGAGGTAACTGGTTCCAGAGAGCTGGGGCAACCACAGAGAAGGCCCTCCCCCATGGGCCGCCAGCCGCATTGTTTAGCTGACGGGACCCGGGAGACCAACTCTGGGAATCTTACTGGTCGCTGGGAGCTATGCGGCAGAAGGCCGGTCTCGAAGTTAACCTGGCCCTGAGCATATGTAGGGCTTTAAAGGTAATAACCAACACCTTGAATTGTGACCGGAGCAATAGGGAGCCAGTGCGGCGAATTGGTGTCTCGCGGAGAGTCATTAGGTGCCCCCACCTGTCAGTTATTTATGCGCGTGGTTTCCCAGCAACTGTCTTGCTGTTCCTTCCAACTGTAGTCCCTGAACACTTTTCACTCCCCTCCCTCCTTTCCCCTCCTTCCTTTTTCCCCCCCTCTCCATCTGGTTTCCTTCTTTCTTCCTTTCCCCCTTTCTTCCTTCCTTCCTTCCTTCCTTCCTTCTTTCCTTCCCTCCTTCCCCTCCCTTCATCTGGTTTCCTTCTTCCCTCTTCTTTCCCTTCCCTTCTTTTCCCTTCTTTTTTCCTTTCCCTTCTTCCACCTCTTCCCTTCTTGTTTCTGTATTTTTTTTCCTTCCTTTCCTTCTTTCCTTCTTTCTCCTCCTATTCCTTCTTTCTCTTATTTTCTTCCCTCCCTCCCTCCCTTCCCTTCAATTGTAGTCCCTTTCTCTCCTTCCTTCTTCCTTTCCTTCTTCCCTTCTCCTCTCTCCCTCCCTTCCCCTTTTTTTCTCCTTTCTCCCTTCCTCCTTCTTCCTTCCTTCCTTCCTTCTTCATCTGGTTTCCTTCTTTCCTTCTTCTTCTCTCCTTCCCTCTTCCTTCTTCCTTCTTCTCTCCTTCCCCCCTCCCTCCCCTTCATCTGTTTTCCTTCCTTCTTCCTTCCTTCCTCCCTTCCTTCCTCCTTCCTTCCTTCCTTCTTCTTCTTCCTTCATCTGGTTTCTTCTTTCCTTCCTTCTTCTTCCTTCTTCCTCCTCCTTCCCTTCTTTTCTTCCTCCCCTCCCTCCCTCCCCTTCATCTGGTTTTCCTCTCTTCTCCTTCCTTCTTCTTTCTTCCTCTTCTTCTTTCTCTTCCTTCCATCTTTCTCCTTCCTTCCTTCCTTCCTAACAAATAGCAGGGATTTGAGTGCAGAGGAGAATGTAATCTCATTTCCTGGGATTTGTATGGTTTCATAATCCACCAGGACACTTCACATTTAGGGAAGGAAGGAAGGAAACCTGTTTGGTCTGGTGCTTTGCTCATCACAAACAAGACAGGGAAACAAATCTCTCCCCAAAATATTAAATCTCCCCCTTTCCATGAGAAATTTGGCCCAGATCTAGGGAATATTGGCACGCAAGAGGATTTTCCCCCTTCTTTTCCAAAAACAAATGGTTTCTTCCCAATAAAACATTTTGGAAGAAAGGCAATATATATATGGATACCTGCTACTTCTCACATCACCTGGGTGGCATCCCCCACACCGTTCTACTTACCGCATACCTCCTTTTGGCATGCATGGTGGCTCCCTCCCTGTAGAACATCATTCCAGTGAAAATCAGATTGGCTTCCACCTAGACACTCTCTTGAAAGGCCTTGGAGACATAGATCTGTCAATGGACCTGGGGACCTTAGAGTGATATGGACCCCATCAAATGGTTGGCCAGATTATTGTCATTGGGGAGAGAAGGTTTATTGAATTTTGTACTGAAATTTTATCTTTTGTAAGTCATCCAGACTTATCATGAATGAGTTAGGTGGCCATATACATTTTCTTTAATAAATAAGAAATAAATTCGTATTCTAGATTTTAGATAGATAAATATTTCAGATGTGGGCTAATTCATGATATCAAAAGCTACTGCAGAGAAAGTTGAAAGAACTTGGATTGGTGTCAGCACTTCAAGCTGCATTTACTCTAGTGCTGACAAGAAGGAGAAGCGAAGGCGTCTGGAAAGGGACGTTTGACTTTTCACCTACTTATTTTCCCTGGAGATAATATCCCCTAGGAGATGGGATGGGAGGGGGAAATTCCTTTGAGCTGGAGCAGTAGATTAGGGGTAGAATGACTTGGAAGATGGCCAATGAGTGCAGGGGAGTGGGGAAACGGAAAGGGAGGGTTTTGGGTCTGGAAGTCAGTGTTGGCTTCTATGGAGTCGGATCTAGAATGTCATGCTTAATAAATAGGAGTTTTTCTTCAAAGACGTTGTTTGAAATGCAATTTATTTGAGACGACCTCGAAACCTGACAATTGGTTTGGTCTGTAAAAGAGAAGAAAGTAGATCCGAAGGATGTATAACCCTGATTAATTGAATCATGGACTGGATTGACTGCCTGGAGCTACCATTCATGGTCTTTGATTTATTGTGGACCTTCAACCATCATCTCTGCCTGTTGTGGAAATCAGAGCATGCGATCAAAGGGATAGTCACTCTCTACACTGTAATAATGGTGGTTTGTTAATCCAGATTTAATGGATTGTAGGCACCCCGCCAAAGTTTACTCAATTAATCCAATTTTCTGCATTTGCATGATCCATTGAGCCGTTAATAAGTCACATGGGCTAAGTTTACAGCACACTTGTTAACTAGTACACTTAAGTCTAGTTGGCTAATGTTTGCACATCAGTATGTTGTGAGAGGACAGCAGGCAATGTACAACTAAGCTTCACACGACTACTAAACCAAAATTAGACACATTGAATCATTCTAAACTCCGCATTGCTCTTTTCTTCTAGATGGTCAATTCATTTACCATCTTCTCATGAATGTTCAATGTCCACTTCATCTTCTTCCTTCACCTTCTTTGGCTGTAATCATACTAGTGCTCCACCAAAACTAGTGGCTACATTGCCTAAATGTATTGTGTTCGACTTGGATTTTGCTGTGGTTGAGGTGGAAGAGAGTGTTTAGGGCTGTGATGGCGTACCTATGGCCCACGTACCAGAGGTGGCACATAGAGCCCTCTCTGTGGGCACGCGTCCTGTCGCCAGCTGCTCTTCGGGCTTCCAGCACTCGCATGTGCACTGGACAGTTGGTCTTCGCGTGGACCAGAGCACCAATAACCTGAAGTCTAGCTGGCTGGTGTGCACATGCTCCGGAGCACACGAAGACCAGCTGGCTGGTGCACATTCACATCGTCCAGCTTGTCTTCAGGTTTCTGGAGATTTGGCACTTCGGTGCTCCGATGCGTGCGTGCGTTCCGGTTTGGGCACTTGGTGCCGAAAAGATTCGCCATCACTGGTGTAGGGTACCTTCGAGACCGACTTCTGCCACCAACAGCCTCCCACCGGCCAGTTCGCTCCCACAGAGAGGGTCTCCTCAGGGTGCCATCGGCCAAGTTACGTCGGCTGGCGACACCCAGGGGGAGGGCCTTCTCTGTGGGAGCCCCAGCCCTGTGGAATGAACTGCCCCCGGAAATACGTAAGATCTCCGACCTCCGGGTATTTCGCTGTGCACTCAAGACCCTGTTGTTCTGCCAGGCTGGGCTATCAACATAACAATTTTAAATTGGGTTTTAAATTCCTGGGGTTTTAAATTGAGCTGAATTCATTTAATAATTTAAAACTATTTTAACTGATGTTGTCTTGTGTTTTTAATAGGCTGTACACCGCCCTGAGTCCTTCGGGAGAAGGGCAGTATAGAAAGAAAATTATTTATTTATTTATTTAGGGTGAGCTCCACCTACTTCACTAATTTACGGACTTGCTGTCAAAACCGGACTATTGTTGTATCTACTAACTAGGCTTAGCATGTATGAATGAAGCCCATGTCCGACTCTCTCCAGGCTCTAAATGAGTAGTTTTCAAACTTGGCATCTTTAAGATGTGTGGACTTCAACTCCCAGAATACCCCAGCCAGCATGCTTTGCAGCTCAGTGAAGGGTCCACTCAAGAGTCTTGGTGGTCTCACGTGTCCCACTAACCCATGGCTAGACTCATACCCACTCCTATACAAAGTATTTGTACACTGTTGTGGTCTGCCAGCAGCCTGTGGAGCTGGCAGTGGAGTTGGACAGTGAGGAGGCTGAGGAAGAACATGGGCCGGTCCTGGAGGCTGGGGAAGGCCCGGATGAGGGCTCTGTGTCGGAGGCAGAGATGGGGCCAGGGCCATCGGGGAGTGATGTGCGGACTTCGGAGCCTCCAAAGGCTGACAGTAGAGAGGCAGAGGAACAGGAGGAGCCTGTTCCTAGTGCACGCATGAGAAGAGCTGCCAGAAGGCAGGAGCAGCTAAAGCAAAAAGGATGACTCGGGAGTAAGGCCAAGAGATGATTGTCCCCTCCCATAAGGCTTAAAAGACCAGCAATGGTTCTTTGGCCTCTTTGCCTGAAAACAACGTTGAGAGAATTGCTTCTTGTTTGGCTGTAGTTATTTCTTCTGTTCCTGAACTGTTGCCAAGAAAAGCCTTTGGCAGTTTGCCTAATTACCCCAAGGTCAGAGATAAACTAAAGACTGGTGTTTTGAGGACTTTGCTTTCATTTCATTTAGAATACGCTGAGAATGAGTTAATTCTCAGCTGTTTTAATAAAATCTGTTTGTTTTTTGGAACTGTTTGGCATTTAATATCAACTACGTGGGCCTGGATCACAACACACACCTTCAAAAGCGAGCGCAGAGACTTCCGGTGATCGAGGCAGCATCGTGTCACATTGCAGGTATGTAAAGCTCGTGTCCTGATCCACCCGGTACAGGATCATCTTGCTACCTGTTCCATCCTCATGACTTAGGTAGATGCGTGGGAGGGGAAGATTTTGCAGGATGTAGGTTCAGCTTAGATGAGTTTTTAATTCCTTCTCTCTCACTTTGGGCTTTTCAAACTTGGACAAACCACTGCATTGTGGACGCCAGAATGAGTGCAGGTATCTTACTCCTAGAACATAGCCCTAAAACACCTTTGTAATATTTTCTAAGCGAAATGGAAAACAGGTTTGGACCAGATCATTAGTAGATCCGTGATTCATTTTGTTACCCTTGTTCCTATGTGGTTATATCCACCCCCCACTTTAATCTATTGAATTAAGTGATCCGCTCAGTACAAGGTGTCAAGAAATACCGAAATGATTCTTCAGGTTTTATATTTTAATCCAAGTTACTAATTTGAAGTCAAATTATTGATTGATTTCAAGTATACTTTGGAATCTGGAACCCCTTCTGCATTTGAAGCTCAAAGCAATTGTCCTATGGTGAATTATCCTGCATGTCCTGGGAGAACCCCCATAATCCCCACTCTCTGTTAGCACTGATGGTGTTCCCTAGTTGGGTCATGAAATGTCTGCAAGAAAACAACCAACTTTAACAAGATCGCCAATGACTTCGCAGTTCAGTCCTGAGCTGCAAATATTCTCTTCTGTCAGTCTTCATCATTGTTTAGAAAGCAGAAAGGGTCAGAGTTCTTTGTAGCTCTTTACTGCCCTCTAGTGTGATTGTTGGGATTTTTCCAGCTACAATATAGCATCCTTGTTCATGGTCTGCCCTCCATAAAAAAAAAAAAAAAAAGGAAGACTTCAATTGGAAGTGTTGATAAAATAGTCCAAGGACTGCATTAAATGCAAGTGCAGAAATTTATTAATCTGTTTATGTTAAAATTACAGGGGTTGGTAGCATTGAATTGAGACTTCTTGCAAAGTTTTCTTGTTAATCAATAGAAGGCAACCTGTGGCTCCTAGAAGGTCCCCATCTTCCCATTTACACCTCTCCCAGCACCCTGAGATCATGCCACTGGATATTGGCAGCAAAATAGTGACACTGCAGTGACAAGAAGGGTGCAGGGTACTGATCAAGGATCTGTGTGCCGAAAGGCAGGGCATTCACACTCAGTGACACACACACACATACAAACACACATACACATACAGATCCGGCTCCCTCATTCGCAAACCAGGATGCCTCAATGTCACACTTTACCTAAAATTTTAGGTATACAAAGTTTTCCCCCCTCCTTTGAAAGAAATCCTGAAAGCAGGGCTGAAAAGCCATCTGAATTAGCCGCCCTGAGTCTCCGGAGAAAGGCGGCATATAAATTGAACTAATAAATGAATCGATCAACAATTTTTTTGGAGCGGGTGGGTGGGAAGAATGCAGAATTATCCAGTCCAGCCTCATTTCCCTCCCCGGCAAAGAGCTAGCTCAAATAAAAACAACGACAACAACCCTTATAGCATGAGATCCAACTCAGCTTTACTTCTTCAAGAAACAGATCCCTTCTGATTGGCTTCATCACTCTTCTTTCCAGGGCTGCTATGGCAACTTTATTTCAACTCCCAGAATTTCTGAGCCAACATAGACTTCAACTCCCAGAATTCCTGAACTAGCACAGATTTCAACTGCCAGAATTCCTGAGCTAGCATGGACTTCTACTCCCAGAATTCCTGAACTAGCACGGATTTCAACTCCCAGAATTTCTGAGCAAGCATGGACTTCTACTCCCAGAATTTCTGAGCTAGAATGGATTTCAACTCCCAGAATTTCTGAGCCAGGATGGATTTCAACTCCCAATTCTGAGCCAGGATGGATTTCAACTCCCAGAATTTCTGAGCCAGGATGGATTTCAACTCCCAGAATTTCTGAGCCAGGATGGATTTCAAATCCCAGAATTTCTGAGCTAGAATGGATTTCAACTCCCATAATTTCTGAGCTAGGATGGACTTAAACTCCCATAATTTCTGAGCCTGGATGGATTTCAACTCCCAGAATTTCTGAGCTAGGATGGACTTAAACTCCCAGAATTTCTGAGCCAGGATGGATTTCAACTCCCAGAATTTCTGAGCCAGGATGAACTTCTACTCTCAGAATTTCTGAACCCGCATGAACTTCTACTCTCAGAATTTCTGAGCTAACATAGATATCAACTCCCAGAATTCCTGAGCAAGCCTGGCTGGGTCAGGAATTCTGGGAGTTGAAGTCCACAAATTGTAAAGTTGCCATCGTTGCCCACTCCTGATCTTCTCCACCACGTAGCACTGCAAAGCTTGGAAAGTGGAGGAACGCAACTGGAGCAGAGAGACGTGGCTCTAAATGAAGCCACACCTCGAGAATAAAGTTGAGTTCCTATCCCTCACAAAGGAAGTGGTGAAACTGACCGGACCGTTCGAGACATTTTTACCATCCAGTCAACTGCAACTTCTCCTGGAAGTGTACTAAAAGAAAAAAAAATGAAACCATAGGCAGCCCTTGACTTACAATCATTTAGCGACCGTTCAGAGTTATGACAGCATTGAAAAAACTGACCTATGACTAGTCCTCACACTTACAACCTCTGCAACATCTCCCATGATCAAAATCCGGGTGCTTGGCAGCCCGTAGGTATTTATGACGGTTGCCGGGTCCCAGGGTCGTGCCATCTGCAACCTTCCGTGTCAGTTTCCCTACAGGCAAAGTCAACAGGGGAAAGCAGGATTTGCTTAATGACTGCTCGATTCACTTAACGACCATGGCAAAAAGGCTTGTACAATCAGGCACAGCTCACTTACCAACCTCTCCTTGCTTAGCAACGGTCCCAATTATGACCGTAAGTCGAGGGCTATCTACATGCACCAGGAAGGAAGGAAGGAAGATGTCTATACGACGAGATTGAAGGCTGAGCCTCCATCCCTTCTCGCACCTAAAACAAATATTTCTGAAGCTTTTGCAAACAGCTTCTCAAGGGCTCTAGATAGGGAGCTTCTGAAGCGGTGAAACACGTGACTTCCTCAGGGCAATTGTCCCGGAGAAGCCCCGAGGCCAATTCTTAAATTTCCTCCTTGCATCTGAAGCACCGTGCATGAAAAGCCAGCCACCTAACTGGGATTTGCCGAGAAGCAAGGTGGAAGGCCTTTTGTGCAAGACCTATACACCCCCGAGTACAGCTTATTCTACAACCCCCATCCTCCCAGAACACTAGAAAAGCAAATGCTTTTGGTGGTGTGTGTGTGGGGTCTAAAACCTCCACATTCCTGCCCTGCAGGAATCCCAGAATCCCAATGGGCCATCCCTTGGAAGCCTAGAAGATGTCCCATCCATTTGTTTCCACCCTGTTGCTTCTCAACCTCACCTGGCTATGGATTCTCAGCCTGATAGACCTGCAGAATGAACAATCCCTTCCCCCACACCCATCCGGGGTGAAATCCAGCAGGTTCTGACAGGTTCTGGAGAACCGGTAGCGGAAATTTTGAATAGTTCGGAGAAATATACAGAGCAAATATTCGGAGCAAATACCACCTCTGATTGGCCCCAGAGTGGGGTGGGAATGGAGATTTTGCAATACCCTTCCCCTGGAGTGGGGTGAGAATGGGGATTTTGCAGTATCCTTCCCCTGGAGTGGGATGGGAATGGGGATTTTGCAATATCCTTCCCCTGGAGTTGGGTGGGAATGAAGATTTTGCAGTATCCTTCCCCTGGAGTGGGCTGGGAATGGGGATTTTGCAGTATCCTTCCCCTGCAGTGGGGAGGGAATGGGGATTTTGCAGTATCCTTCCCCTGGAGTTGGGTGGGAATGAAGATTTTGCAGTATCCTTCCCCTGGAGTGGGGTGGGAATGAAGATTTTGCAGTATCCTTCCCCTGGAGTGGGATGGGAATGGAGATTTTTGCAGTATCCTTCCCCTGGAGTGGACTGGGAATGGGGATTTTGCAATATCCTTCCCCTGGAGTTGGGTGGGAATGAAGATTTTTGCAGTATCCTTCCCCTGGAGTGGGGAGGGAATGGGGATTTTGCAATATCCTTCCCCTGGAGTTGGGTGGGAATGAAGATTTTGCAGTATCCTCCCCTGGAGTGGGCTGGGAATGGGGATTTTGCAGTATCCTTCCCCTGGAGTGGGGAGGGAATGCAGATTTTGCAATATCCTTCCCCTGGAGTGGGGTGGGAATGGAGATTTTGCAATATCCTTCCCCTGGAGTGGGGAAGGAATGCAGATTTTGCAGCATCCTTCCCCTGCCACGCCCACCAAGCCACGCCCACCAAGCCACGCCTACAGAACCGGTAGTAAAAAAAAAAAATCGGATTTCACCACTGCCCAGAATCCCAATGGGCCATCCTTTGGAAGCCTAGAAGATGTCCCATCCGTTTGTTTCCGTCCTGTTGCTTCTCAACCTCAACCTGAGCTACGGATTCTCACCCTGATAGACCTGCAGAACGAACAACCCCATACCCCCCACCCCCACCCCTTGCTAAAAAAAAAAATGCACTTCAAAATGTTGAGTAGATAACATTAGATGCCACCTCACACCGACAAAAGGGCCGTCATCGAAGAGGAACAAGGGGTTCCAAGAGGAACGTTCAATCCTTTCAAATGAAATAATTTGGCCAACCTTGGCTCAGATTAGGGAATCCTTGGACCAAAAGGGACATCTTTTCTGCAGAAGATGCTGGCAAGCTGGTGGGCTTTATACAAGGGACACCACACACCGCCCCCTCTCTTTCGGGCCGAGGGAGAGAGAGAGAGACCCGTTGTAGCTCAAGTCTCTTTGAGAGTTCGGTTTGCATCGGTCGACGGGAAAATTTGGCCTCGCCCAAAGTCATCTGTGCCAATGTGCCAAACGTTTGCTCTTAAGAAACATCTCCCGGAGGAGTCGTGCATGGAAAGAAGTGACGTCTCTCCCAATTTTTCTTTTCTTTTCTTTTTTTTTTCTTTTTGTCTAGAGAGGAAAAAAAACAAACAAACACAGGGAGCTCTGGATAGTCTTCCTGAGTGATGCTTTAATGGAGGTAAGTAGGCTGATTCCATCGGTACCATGATCTGAAAGACACAAAGGCAACAATAAATTGCAAAAAAAAAAGAAAGAAAGGCAAAAATAAACATAACACATACATCCTGGACATAAGCTGCTTCAGTTATTGTCCTTGTCTGCGTCATTACTCTGAAATCTTGTCTTGCTACCAACCTGCCTTCCATGGAGGACCTGTATCCTGCACGAGTCAAAAAGAGGGCTGTGAAAATATTTACAGACCCCTCGCATCCTGGACATCAACTGTCTCAACTCCTACCCTCAAAACGACGCTATAGAGCACTGCACACCAGAACAACTATTTATTTATTTATTTATTTTAATTTTTATTCATTTTTATATGCCGCCCTTCTCCGGAGACTCAGGGTGGCTTACAATGCGCTAAGCAATAGCCTTCATACTTTTGTATATTTTATACCAAGTCAGCTTATTGCCCCCACAATCTGGGTCCTCAATTTACCCACCTTAGAAAGGATGGAAGGCTGAGTCAACCTTGAGCCTGGTGAGAATTGAACTCGCAGTAATTGCAGGCAGCTGGATGTTAAATGCTGCCTTAGTAGGAGGCATTAGCCTCCTACGCCACTCAGGCTCCATTAGACACAAGGACAGTTTTTTCCCGAACGCCATCACTCTGCTAAACAAATAATTCCCACAACACTATCAAACTATTCACTAAGTCTGCACTACTATTACTATTCATCTTCTCATCATTCCTATCACCCATCTCCTCCCACTTATGACTGTATGACTGTAACCTTGTTGCTGGTATCTTTACGATTTATATTGATATTGATTGTTTCCTGATTGCTTATTTGTACCCTATGACTATCATTAAGTGTTTTATCTTATGACTCTTGACGAATGTATCTTTTCTTTTATGTACACTGAGAGGGTATGTACCAAGGACAAATTCCTTGTGTGTCCAATCACACTTGGCCAATAAAGAATTCTGTTCTGTTCTGTTCTGTTCTGTTCTGTTCTGTTCTGTTCTGTTCTATTCTATTCTATTCTATTCTATTCTATTCTATTCTACTCAACCCTACCCTACCCTACCCTACCCTACCCTACCCTACATTCCAATATTCTATTCTATTCTATTCTATTCTATTCTATTCTATTCTATTCTATTCTATTCTATTCTACTCTACTCTACCCTACCCTACCCTACCCTACCCTACCCTACCCTACATTCCAATATTCTATTCTATTCTATTCTATTCTATTCTATTCTATTCTATTCTATTCTACTCAAACCTACCCTACCCTACCCTACCCTACCCTACCCTACATTCCAATATTCTATTCTATTCTATTCTATTCTATTCTATTCTATTCTATTCTATTCTATTCTATTCTATTCTATTCTTCTTTGTTTTCTCAGGAAGGTGGGCACCTCAAGGGGCAAGATGGAAGAGAACTGAGTGGGCGATGATGCCTGGTATGGAATGGTCAAGTGTTTTCCCCCTCAAGAAAAAACATTAGTACTGAATCACACAATGGCAGGGGAACGAATTCAGAAGGGTGAGCTATAATTTGTGCCCTCCTATTTATTGGTTTGCTTGGACAATGATCTCCTGATCTTCATTCAAGGAAATGTCAACATTCTTCTCCAAGACTCTGCAAATTTCCTCAGAGTGGGGGGGAAAAAAAGGATGAATTTACAAGGTGTAGCTAGCATTTCAGTGGTTGTCTATAGTCATCATAAACCTTAATATAATTATATATTAATTCCAATATATGATTAATATTGGAAGACCATTGCATTTTTTAAGAGGTAGCTGTCAGTTTGCTCTAGGCACCGGTCTAGAAACCGGAAGATGGTGAGTTCAAGTTCTGCCTTATATGTGAAAGCTGGCTGGCTGACTTTGGGCCATTCATCAGGAGACTGGGAGTTCTAGTCCTGCCTTAGACATCTGCCACCTGGGTAACTGGGCCAATCACCAGGAGACTGGGAGTTCTAGTCCTGCCTTAGACATGGAAACTGGCTGGGTGACTTTGGGCCATTCACCAGGAGAGTGGGAGTTCTAGTCCTGCCTTAGACATGGAAGCCACCTGGGTGCCTTTGGCCGTTCATCAGGAGACTGGGAGTTCTAGTCCTGCCTTAGACATGGAAACTGGCTGGGACTGACTTTGGGCCGTTCACCAGGAGACTGGGAGTTCTAGTCCTGCCTTAGACATGGAAGCCACCTGGGTGACTTTGGGCTGTTCATCAGGAGACTGGGAGTTCTAGTCCTGTCTTTGACATGAAGTTGGGTGACCTTGGACCAGCTACCCTCTTGCAGCCTAACCCACCTCACAGTTATTGTTATGTGAAAAATAGGAGGAGGAAGGGCGGTTAGATATGTTCACCGCCTTGAGCTGTTTATAAAAATAATAAAAGTGGAATATAAATAAATAAATTTGAGATAAACATTGGACTGGACATTATCTTGGACGTGTTCCAGTGGTGGGCTGCTCCCGGTTCGGTCCGGTTCTATAGAACTGGTAGTAAAACTGGTGGGAGGCTCCGCCCACCCAGCACGACGTCATCATGGGTGATCTGTGCATGTGCAGAAGCTTCTGCACATGCACAGAAGCGCACACACATATGCGAGCAAAGCAAACATGCGTGCGCGGCCCCATTGCAAACCAGTAGTAAAGGTAAGTAGAACCCACCCCTGATGTGTTCCCTGGGAGCAACTGGCAAGTTTCTTGCTCATCCCTCTTGTCTCTCTTGGTCTTACCCAGAATCCTCTTGTCCCACAGAATAACAAAATAACAACGTCCATCCTTACCCAGAAGAGTTGAAACTGGATGAATTGATGGCTACTTTAGAGTTACTCTGAGGCATGCTGGGATTGTTGGTGTGAAGTCCTGCGCCGGGCGATGAGGACCGGCTGGCATGGCCAGGAGAACAGGAAGAAGACACTAGGAAGTAGAGAAGAACATCAAGAAAAGTCAGGAAGCACAAGAGAGGTAGGGCTGTGTGTCTGTGTATGTCAGTGGATGTTTGGAACTTTAAGATGTGAGTTTTCCCTCTCACACTCACTTTAATTTTGCACACGAAAAGTACATTTACTACTTTGGAGTCCTCATAACTGCTGAAGTCCTGCAGCCAGAGACTTATAATAGCTGTTTTAACTTCACAGGGGTCATTCATTCATTCATTCATTCATTCATTCATTCATTCATTCATTCATCCATTCATCCATCCATCCATCCATCCATCCATCCATCCATCCATCCATCCATCCAATTCATATGTTGCCCATCTCACTATACAAAGCAAAATTTTGTAGGCAGGGTTAAGATGGCATCCAGATGGAGTTTGCAACTGCCTCACTTAAGCCCTGCCTCTTTTTTTGAAATTGTATGTCAAAAATAATTAGTCAAGGCTTTGATGATACAATCGGAATTGTCCTGTGGAGTTTTCAGTTCATGCCCCTGGTGTTTGATGCTAAATCAGTGAAGACCTCAGAATCTGGGGCTACTAAGATGTTGAGAGATACCGTTCTCCAAGCTCAAAATGCCTGAAGAATTCCAAGTGGTTTCTTTTGATGACACAGTGTACAGATGTTTTGAAAACAAAGATGGAAAACGACTCCAGGCTTACACAAATGCAGCAAAGCAAAAATAAATAAATAAACAAATAAAAATAGACCCATTCTTGGTAGAACTTACCTGCACCATGCATGGAACTGTGAGCAGAGAGGGGACCCAAAGATCCTGAGGTAGAAACCTGCAAAAGAGGTGGAGGTAAATCTGGTTGGTTGACTCTTAGAAGTTCTGGGCTCTAAAGGTTGCCCGGTCCTGAGCTTCACACATGGGCCTTGAGAAGAAGTCATGACTTCCTTGTCATCTAAGGCCAACCAGAGACTTGTAACCCAAACAGAACTGTTCTAGAGCAAACGTTTGAACCACATTGTTGTGGTCCGCCAGCAGCCTGCGGAGCTGGCAGTGGAGTCGGACAGTGAGGAGGCTGCGGAGGACCATCGGCCAGTCCTGGAGTCTGGGGAAGGCTCGGACAAGGGCTCTGTGTCGGAGGCAGAGATGGGGCCAGGACCATCTGGGAGCGATGCGCGGACTCTGGAGCTTCCAGAGTCAGACATCAGAGAGGCAGAGGAACAGGAGGAGCCTGTTCTTAGTGCACGCATGCGAAGAGCTGCCAGAAGGCAAGAGCAGCTAAAGCAAAAGGGACGACTCAGGAGTAAGGCCAGGGGATGACTGGCCCCTCTCAGAAGGCTTAAAAGAGCAGCAACGGCTCTTGGGATTTTTGTAGGAAAGCAACGTTGCTACATTTGTTTCTTGTCAGCATCTCCTGCTTCTGAACTTTTGCCAAGAAAAGCCTTTGGCAGGGTGCCAAAGAAGACAAAGGTTGGTGATAAGGCCAAAGGACTGTTTACTAAGGATTTGTTTTGTTTTATGTTTGTTTTATTGTTTTATTAAATTTGTATATGGCCCTACTCCCGAAGGACTCAGGGCGGTGAACAGGCACAGGATAAAATACAGAAGTTAGAAACAATTTAAAACCAAATTAAATAATTTTGCCCACGACAATTTAAAATCCTAATAATTTAAAAACAAATTAAAATTTCAGTTTAAAAATTTAAAAGAGAGGGGAGAAAAATTAGGCCAGGCCGGCTTGCTGAAATAAGAGGGTCTTAAGAGCATGGTGGAAAGTGTGCAGATCTGGGATCCTCCGTATCTCCGGAGGGGAGCTCGTTCCAGATAGTGGGTGCCCCCACAGAGAAGGCCCTCCCCCTGGGGGCCGCCAGTCAACACTGCTTGGCTGACGACACCCGGAGGAGCCCCTCTCTATGAGAGCGTACCGGCCAGTGGGAGGCTGTTTGTGGTAGTAGGCGGTCCCGTAAATAACCAGGTCCTAAAGGTGGTAACCAAAACCTTGAAGCGCACACGGAAGACTACCGGGAGCCAGTGCAGCTCACGCAGGAGAGGTGTCACACGGGAGCGCCATGTTGCTCCCATCACCACCCGCACGGCCGCACTCTGCGCCAGTTGGAGCCTCCGCGTGCTCCTCAAGGGGAGCCCCATGTAGAGAGCATTACAATAGTCCAGGCGGGAGGTGACGAGGGCATGAGTGAATGTGTGTAGGGAGTCCCGATCCAGAAAGGGACGCAACTGGCGAATCAGGTGAACCTGATGAAAAATCCTCCCGGTCACGGCCGTCAAGTGCTCTTCTAAAGACAGCCGTGAATCCAGGAGGACGCCCAAGTTGCGAGCCCTCTCCGTGGGGGCCAGCGATTCGCCCCCAATAGCCAGCGATGGCATCAACTGACTATATCGGGACGTCGGAAACCACAGCCACTCGGTCTTAGATGGGTTGAACCTGAGCCTGTTCCTCCCCATCCAGATCCGCACGGCCTCCAGACACCGGGACATCACTTCAAGGGCATCGTTGGGGTGGTCCGGGGTGGAGATGTACAACTTTGGACTTAATTTGAACTAAGCTGAGAATGAAGCGATTCTCAGCTGTTCTAATAAATTCTCAGCTGTTCTAATAAATTCTCAGCTGTTCTAATAAAATATGTATGTTTAGGATTGATTCTGTCTGGTAATACCTACTTGGGCCTAGGTCACAGAACACACACTCTCTGGGATATGTTCAAGAGAGTAGTTTAATCCATCTGCACGTAGGGGTTCACTGCTTTAACGTTCTGCATTGTTGACATTGAAGCTGGAACGGTTGGTTTTGCTTAGATGCCCAACTCTTAAACTCTTAGAAGACGGGACAGGAAGCATCAGGCATGAGTCACTGGAAGATGCCATTGCCAGTGACTCAGGAAAAAAGGTTCCAGATCTTCCAGTGACTCAGAGCCAACATGGAGCCCTTCTTGCTGGCAACCTGTTGAGGAATCTAAGACAAGGAGCCATGCTGGCTGGGGAACTCATATCACACCTGGAACAGGTAAGGAGGGGGGGACAGGACAGGGGGAACTCCCTTCCGGTCTATCAAGTTCTGCTCTTGATCACAGTTTCACTTGGATGCCAGTCCTTTCCTTAAAGTCATCCTCATCGCCGCTGCACAATCTTTGAAACAGGAATGTTGCAGGTGGGATGAGTTCCTGGCTGGCTGGCTGGCTGGCTGGCGACAGATGTGGCCTCTCTCCCAGCTGTTTGGCTGAATGAAAACACCGGGCATTTGTCCTAGAGGCTGCTGGGAATTGTAGTGTGACAGCTTGGCAGATGGGGAAACAGAGGTTTCCACCACTTCACGAGGAAAATGTATAGAATTGTTCCAACTACAAATGTCGAAGGGGAAGGGAAAAAATGATGGAGGGCTTTGTTTATGGGCGGTGTAGCTGATCAGGAATCTTCTGGTGTGAAGCATCTGCACTGACCATGGCAGAACCACAACTAAGAAGGAACATTAAACCCCTGATGGGGGCCTTCATCTCATTCCCAGTTTATGATGAGATAGGTTGAGATTGTCCTGAGCTGGTCTCTGGTCTTGAACGGACTTCCTTCCTTCCTTCCTTCCTTCCTTCCTTCCTTCCTTCCTTCCTTCCTTCCTTCCTTCCTTCCTTTCCTTCCTTCCCTCCTCCCTCCCATTATCTTTCATTTTTCTTTCTTTCCTTCCCTCCCTCCCTCTCCTCTCTCTCTCCTCTCTCCTTCCTCTCTCTTTCCATTATCTTTTTCTTCTTTCTTCCTCCCTCCCCTCCCTCCCCTCTCCTCTCCTCTCCCTCTCTTCCTCCTCCTCCCTCCTCCCTCTCTCCTTCCCTTCCATTATCCTTTCTTTTTTCTTTCTTGCCTCCGGTCCCTCCCTCCCTCTCTTCCTCCTCCCTCCCATCTCCCTCTCTCTCCTTCCTCCCATTATCTTTTCTTTTTCTTCTCTTGCTTTCCCTCCCTCCCTCTCTTCCTCCCTCCCATCTCCCTCTCTCCTTCCCTCCCATTCCTTTTCATTTCTCTTTTCTTTCTTGCTTTCCTTTCCTCTCTCTTCCTCCCTCTCTCCCCCCTTCCCTCCTTCCCTCCCATTATCTTTTCTTTTTCTTTCTTGCTTTCCTTTCCTCTCTCTCTTCCTCCCTCCTCCCTCCCTCCTTCCCTCCATTATCTTTTCTTTTTCTTTCTTGCTTTCCTTTCCTCTCTCTCTTCCTCCCTCCCTCCTCCTTCCCTCCCATTCCTCTCCTTTCCTTTCTCCTCTCTCTCTCCTCCCTCCCTCTCTTCCTCCCTCCCTATCTCCCTCTCTCCCTTCCATTATCTTTTCATTTTCTTTCTTGCTTTTCTTTCCTCTCTCTCTTCCTCCTCCCTCCCTCCCCCCTCCTTCTCTCCTTCCCTCCCATTATCTTTTCTTTTCTTTCTTGCTTTCCTTTCGTCTCTCTCTTCCTCCCTCCCTCCCCCTCCTTCTCTCCTTCCCTCCCTTATCTTTTCTTTTTCTTTCTTGCTTTCCTTTCGTCTCTCTCCTCCTCCCTCCCTCCCCTCCTTCCCTCCTTCCCTCCATTATCTTTTCTTTTTCTTTCTTGCTTTCTTTCTTCCTCTCTCTCTCCTCCCTCCCCCTCCCTCCCTCCCTCCTCCTTCCCTCCTTCCCTCCCATTATCTTTTCTTTTTCTTTCTTGTCTTCCCTCTCTCCTTCCTAGAGAAAAAGGAGCCTAGCCAGCCCTCCTTACCAGTCTGGAGTTGTAGAGGGGTGACTTTATGGGGGAGGGCATCGGACAGCTGATTCTTTTTTCCTTCTGCCTTCGGTTGCAGAACCAAACACGGACCACTTCTTTCTCCATGGCCAACTGCTCTGCAATCAGGGCTATCTCCTCCGAGCTGGGCTTGGGGTTCTGCTGAGACAAAGTCATCAGTAAGAGAACTGATGGAAGGATAAAAGGTAAAGGTTCCCCTCACATATGTGCTAGTCGTTCCTGACTCTAGGGGGCAGTGCTCATCTCCGTTTCAAAGCCGAAGAGCCAGTGCTGCCCGAAGACGTCTCCGTGGTCATGTGGCCGGCATGACTCAACGCCAAAGGCGCACGGAACGCTGTTCCCTTCCCACCAAAGGTGGTCCCTGTTTTTCTACTTGCATTTTTTACGTGCTTTCGAACTGCTAGGTTGGCAGAAGCTGGGACAAGTCATGGGAACTCACTCCCTGTTACGCGGCACTAGGGATTCGAACCGCTGAACTGCCGACCTTTCGATCGACAAGCTCAGCGTCTTAATGGATAGCCATGCTTACGTCCTGGAACCGTTTCTCCAGCGTGGAGCGAATGTTGGTCTCGATGCTGGTTCGTTTTTTCCTCTTCCGCCCAAACATCTCGCTTACGGAGGGGTAGGAACTCGGGCTGCTGACGGACGAGTCCAAGGGGGAGGATTCTGTGGGGAGGGGAGGGGAGAAGAGTTAAGCCAATTTTTATTTTTTTTGCAATTCACTTAAAACCTTGGCTAGGTGGCTCAGTGGCTAAGATGCTGAGCTTGTTGATCAGAAAGGTTGGCAGTTCAGTGGTTCGAATCCCTAGTATAGCTCTCCTGTGTGAGCAGGGGGTTGGACTAGTTGACCTCCAAAGTCCCTTCCAACTCTGTTACTGTTATATACTTGATGTAATTTTATTGGAAAGAGCCTCTCCGTTCCATCCAAATGTTATAAAGGGCAGATCTGAGTCTGTCATTGTGTATTTTTTTTCTGGACTGTTAAAACATGATATTTCAGCAAGAGTCCTAAAAATTACGAAAGCGGGCATCTTCTATGATTTTCTGGTTGAATATTCCCATATTTCCTTTAGTTTGTCTGTATTTTGGGACATAAGAGTGTATTTTCAACACTCTTTTCTGACCCCTAGTGGCTCATTATGTTCATCACAGTCACACAATCCAGTTTGCCTTAAACACAACTGCAAACTTTTCATTGTCCACTAGGAGACTTTGAATATTTACCCTGTTTCCCCAAAAATAAGACCTCCCCTGATAATAAGCCCAATCGGGCTTTTGAGTGCATGCGCTAAAATAAGCCCCCCTGAAAATAAGCCCTCCCCAAAAATAAGCCCTCCCTGAAAATATTTAAACACATGCACAGCCGGTCTCCACCATTTCCTCTGGTTAGGGTTAGGGAGACAGAGCTGGAAATCAGGTAAGATGGCAAGGGGAGCCCTGTCTTGCTCCATGAGCTCCAAAATAATAAGACATCCCCGAAAATAAGGCCAAACGCTTATTTCAGGGTTCAAAAAAATATAAGATAGGGTCTTATTTTTGGGGAAACACGGTAAGTGCATTGAATGGGAATGAGTTGATAAGGCAGTTCTGTAGGGCATTGAAAATATGCTTCCCTCCTCCCACTCCAACCCCCCCCCAAATATTTCAAAAATAATTGAAAATGTCCAATGAACAAAGAGTTAGAAATGGAAGAAGGAAGGCAGAACTTTTTCTTTCCTTTTAAAGACCCTGTAATCCCTTGCATTGGGGTGGAGTTGGGGGCAACTGAATGGAGATGAGCATTTGCTGGCCGGATTCCCTTCCTGGCACCTATGTGGAGCTCACAGCAAATATATTCTCTTTGCTCCCAGAGGGAGAAATATCTACCACTACCTAGGATTGAACTCTGGGCCATATTTGCTGTGAGCTCCGCGTAGGTGTCAGGAAGGGCATCCGGCCAGTAAATGCCGCTCTGAAGAAGGTGGGACATTACTGACTCCCTTAAATATAATCATACCTGCATCACTCAACCACTTCTCCAGGAGTGGTTTTAGCTTACACATGTTCTTGAAACTCAGGTTGAGAGCTTCGAAGCGAGAAATGGTGGTTTGGCTGAAGTCATTTCCGTAGAGTTTCCCCATAGCCAGACCCACATCGCCCTACGGAGAAGAGAAGATGTCAGAAACCTGAGAGCGTGAGACCATGGATTTATTGGCTGAATATTGCCCAGGGTTCTTCTCTGTGCTTATCCTGTTCCTTTTTGCAGGAGAATCGTCTTAAATCCATGGCCATCTCCATTTTGAGTACATTAAATATTAGTTATACTGTAACACATACGGTAATTGTAATAGAATGATGTAATAGGGTTAACTACGGTCTGCTAATTATACTCGCTATTATAATACTGTAAAGCCACAATTGTCTTTCTAAGGAGCATGTGTCTACAAATTAGAAAAAAAAACAACTAAATCAGTGCAAAATTAATTAGAATTAACCAATTATATATTTGCTGTAAAAAAAAAAGCTCTTTGTTGATTAATCCACAGGTCGTTTACAAGAGCAAGGAAAGGAAGGAAGAAAAAGAGGAAGGAAGGAAGGAAAGAAAAGATAGGCAAGAGAGAAAAGGAAGGACGGAAGGAAGGAAGGAAGGAAGGAAGGAAGGAAGGAAGGAAGGAAGGAAGGAAGGAAGGAAGGAAATGTGCAGGACTCAATTCAAGCAGAGTCAAAGGCTTGGGCCAATGGCATCTACAGAGAAGTTCCAAAAAATCAAGATTGTGGGTGCACCTCTGTGAGTGGAACTTTGGCCCTCTTTTCCATGCCCTATACATGTGTGTTTTACTGGTATCGAATAGAATAGAATAGAATAGAATAGAATAGAATAGAATAGAATAGAATAGAATAGAATAATAGAATAGAATGGGATGGGATGGGATGGGATGGGATGGGATGGGATGGGATGGGATGGGATGCGATGGGATGGGATGGGATGGGATGGAAGAAGTGAGGAGAGGGAGAGGAGAGGGGAAGAGGGAAGGGAAGAGAAGAGAAGAATAAGTAGAAGGGAAGGGAAGGGAAGGGAAGAGAAGAACAAGTAGAATGGAAGGGAAGAGAAGAGAGGAGAGGAGAGGAGAAGAGAAGAGAAGAATAAGTAGAATGGAAGGGAAGAGAAGAGGAGAAGAGAAGAGAAGAGAAGAATAAGTAGAAGGGAAGGGAAGAGAAGAACAAGTAGAATGGAAGGGAAGAGAAGAGAGGAGAAGAGAAGAGAAGAGAAGAATAAGTAGAAGGGAAGGGAAGAACAAGTAGAATGGAAGGGAAGAGAAGAGAGGAGAAGAGAAGAGAAGAATAAGTAGAAGGGAAAGGAAGAACAAGTAGAATGGAAGGGAAGAGAAGAGAGGAGAAGAGAAGAGAAGAATAAGTAGAAGGGAAAGGAAAGGAAGAGAAGAGAAGAGAAGAACAAGTAGAATGGAAGGGAAGGGAAGGGAAGGGAAGGGAAGGGAAGGGAAGAGAAGAGAAGAGAAGAGAAGAGAAGAGAAGAGAAGAGAAGAGAAGAGAAGAGAAGAGAGAATAACAGAGTTTATTCCTCTAAGAAAGGAACTGAAAGTCTTCCTCCTGGTGCCACTGCACTGCCTGAGTTGGGAGCAGAAAGGTTCTCCCCCCCCCGTAGCTGAAGGTCCATGAATTGTCCAGCTGGTCTGAGACCCCTCTCACCTGCGTGAACCCCAGTTTGATGCGCCTCTGCTTAAAAGTCTTGGCAAATTTTTCCAGCTCTTCCAAATCATTGGCTTCATCTGTTGCCATGGAGGACGGCAAGTGTTTGGCCACTTGTAAGTGCTGTGGGGCTTCCAGGTGAGGCTCCAACGATGACCCAGGGTGCCCAGGACGTCCCACTGCCTGTTAAAATGCAAACCGTGGTGGAATTGTCATTACATTGCAGCCCCATCTCATTCATCTCCAACCCCTTGACAACCTGTTCCAGAATTCCCAGCCACATGGACCCAGACACATCTGGAAGAGCACCCCATTAGCAGAGCATCATGGGATCTATAGTGGTAGGCCAAACCACAGAGACATAAAGCTTCTGATGTTCCCACAAAGTAGCTATTACTTTTCAGTCTCTCTTGTTCATGGATGGTGCCATCACGGACATTCAACAAGGCTGGATCTCAATAGGATTAGGAGATCTAGGGAGATTCTCAATCATCCAGGTCATGGTTGTCCCAAAGGTCCTTTTTCCAAAATGCAACTGGACTTCCTTGGGTTTTTTTTTCCTTGAAAGCATTTCAGTTCTCATCCAAGAAGAACCGTAGAAGCTTCTTGGATGAGAAACTAAACATTTACAAAGAAAAAACCAAGAAAGTCCAATTGAATTTAGAAAAGCACCTTTGGAATAGAATTAGGAGGGCGTCTATCCTCCTTCCTGGGGAGGAAAACTATGGCAAATCTAGATATCTTACTAAAAAGCAGAGACATCACCCTGCCAACAAAAGTGCGTATAGTCAAGGCTACGGTTTTCCCAGTTGTATGGCTGTGAAAGTTGGATCATAAGGAAGGCTGAGCGCCAAAGAATGGAGGCCTTTGAACTCCGGTGCTGGAGAAGACTCCTGCGAGTCCCTTGGACTACAAGGTGATCCAACCGGTCAGTCCTAGAGGAGATCAACCCTGACTGCTCTTTAGAAGGCTGGATCCTGAAGAGGAAACTCAAATACTTCGGCCACCTAATGAGAAGGAAGGAAGGACTCCCTGGAGAAGAGCCTAATGCTGGGAACGATGGAGGGCAAAAGAAGAAGGGGACGGCAGAGAACGAGGTGGCTGGATGGAGTCACTGAAGCAGTCGGCATGAGATTAAATGGACTCCAGAGGATGGTAGAGGACAAGAAGGCCTGGAGGAACGTTGTCCATGGGGTCGCGATGGGTCGGACACGACTTTGCAACTAACAACTATCAGGAAACCTCAGGTTAAGTAGGATAGATTGAACAGCTGAAAAAGATCCCAGAAAGAGTAAACCCATTTAAATAATATTGCCAAGAAAACTCCTTGAACGGCTGCCTACAGTCACCAGGCATCCAAGTTAAAGAAGACTTTTCTTTGAGTTCAATGATCTTAATCCTCCGGGCATTTTAATGAGCTCTGTGGAATTTCAGAAGCAGAGACAGACGCTGAGACAGACAGAGCGAGGGAGACAGAGACAATGCCTTTAAACGGTGAGCAGGAAAGTGGTTGTGTCAACCCCGGCTTGGCAACACCAGGATTACGAATCTGCAAGGTGAAAGATTTCATCACGGGCAATTCTTCTAGGATTGGGGATACGCTTATTGAATTTTGAAATTTTGAAATCCCATACGGACCTCTTCAAAATACGGGCTGGAACTGCGGATTGAATTTGGTTTAGAATAGCTCTGGATAACAGGGGTGGAAGGATTTGGATACGGCTAGTCTAGATCAAAAAAGAACTAGGTGTTGAGTGTGTATATATTTACGAAGTTTTCTCTGGCAACGCTGTACTCCAAACTAGGGCGTATAAAGCCTCCAAGGTCCCTTCCAGCTGTATCCTGAATTTCAAATTTAGGAAAGGACATTGGAAGTCTTCTAGACTGACCACTTGCTCAAACAGGAGACCCTGTTCCATTTCAGAAAAAATAGTCGTTCAATCTCTTCTTAAAAACCTCCAGTGATGGAGTACCCACAATGTCTGGAGACAACCCGTTCCATGGATTCGTTGTTCTCCCTTCAGGAAATTCCTCCTTAGTTCTAGGCCGGTTCTCAGTTTAACGGAGTTTCAGCAAATGACAACTCATAGGTACTAAGACCACTTTATAAAGCCTTAGTAAGACCACACCTAGAAATACTGCATCCAGTTTTGGTCATCACACTATAAAAAAAGATGTTGAGACTCTAGAAAGAGTGCAGAGAAGAGCAACCAGGATGATTTTAGGGTACTGGAGAGGCTAAAACATACGAGGAACGGTTGCAGGAACTGAGCATGGCTAGTCTAGTGAAGAGAAGGACCAGGGGAGACATGATTGCATCTTCCAATATTTGAGGGGCTGCCCCAGAGAGGAGGAAGGGGGTCAAGCTATTCTCCAAGGCACCTGAAGGCCAGGCAAGGAATAATGGATGGAAACTGAACAAGGAGAGATTCAACCTGGAAATAAGGAGGAATTTTCTGACCGTGAGAGCAATCAACCCATGGAACAGAAGTTGCCTTCAGAAGTTGTGGGAGCTTCATCCCTGGAAGCTTTCAAGAAGAGACTGGACTGTCGTCTGTCAGAAATGGTGTAGGGTCTCCTGCTTGGGCAGGAGGTTGGACTAGATGACCTCCAAGGTCCCTTCCAACTCTGTTAATCTGCTAATATAATAACAACAGCAGCCAGTCAGTTGATGGGACTTACCTGAGATGCTAAGCCGTGTCCATGCTGTGGGAGGAGAAGTCCACTCTGCTGCTGAGGAAAGGAGAGAAGGTTTGATTGAAGAGCTGAAAGAGACGGAGAAAAATTCGGTCAGATACTTTGGTTCCACCAAACCCAACCATGCCCAGATGCGGGTCGTTGACCCACATCCCAAATTTCACAGTCACCAAAGACACCCCCCACCCCCACCCCCACTCTTCTCTCCCTATTCCATTCTCTTGGTGACAAGTTGTCTCTTGCCATCTCTTTCTCCATTGCAGCATTTCACAACTTGGTTAGTCATCTAGAGAGAGAGAGAGATGCAAATTAACCCGTCTTCCCCCAGATCACTAACGTGCTACAAGTAGGAATTGCTGGAAAAGGGGAAAGGGGGTGTGTGTGAATTTAGTAAAATGAAAAAGTAATTGAAAAGAAAGTAAAAATCGGGATTTCTCAAATACCACCTTGGAAAATACTAAATTGAAAATGAATTCAAGAATAGAGAGCGAATGGAGAGGGATAGAGGAGAGAAGAGAGGATGGAGAGAGAAGGAAAGAAGAAAGGGAAAAGGAGAGGAAGAAAGAGAAGGGAAACAAGAGTAGGAGAGAAGGTTAGAAGGGAGGAAGAAGGGAGGTGTGGGGTTAAGGAAGGGGAAGGAGAGGAGGAAAGAAGAAAGTAGAAGAGTAGATGGAAGAAGGGAGGGAAAGGAAAGAGAGGAGAGGGAGAAGAAGGATTGTTTGTAAAACAAGGGAGATGAAATGGTAGAAGAGCAACCCCGAATTTAATTAAACTGTTTAGGATGAAGATTGTATTAGTATGAAAGTTAAAAGGAAATATGTACGTTAGATAAGAAATTGTACATTTAAGATATGTTTATGAGAAAAATAAAAAAAAAACTTTTTCAAAAGAAAGAAAGTAGGAATTGCTCGAAATGAAAAAAAACAGAGCGAAGAGATCAGTTGTGATTCTGAGGGCCGGAAAACCTAAATGTCGGAACAGAGAATCACTCTTGACCTCCTGACCCCATCCCATCCCATTGTTTTAAATTCAGAAGTAAAGTTTGTTACGTCTTGACGAACTTAAGAACTTCGTCTTCGGAATATGACCTAGAATTACAGGCTAGTTCTCCACTTACGACAATCCATTTAGGGACCATCAGAAGTTGCAACGGCACTGAAAAAGGGACGCACGACCCCTTTTCACACTTACAATGGTGGCAGCGTCCCCGTGGTCATGTCAACAAAATTCAGACGCTTGGAAACGGATTCATATTTATGACGGTCGCGGCGTCCCGGGGACACACAATTCCCTTTTGCGACCTTCCGATGAGCAAAACCAACTGGGAAACCATAGTCAGTTAACAAATTCAGTGATTCACTTAACAGCTGTGGCGAGGTAGGTCGTAAAATGGGGAAAAACTCACTTAACAAATGTCTCCCTTAGCGACAAAGATTTGGGGCTCCATTGAGGTCCTAAGTCAAGGACTACCTATGTATAGCATCTACCCACCCCACAGGTTGCATCACAAACTCCCATCCAGGTTGGGGCAAGTCAAGTCAAATGCCGCCACCCTTACAGGCGCGTGGCTGGGACAAGAAGACAATTCGCTGGAGGCGACTCGACGACACAGGTGAGGCAACAGCTCCTGAAGTCATCCAGGCTTTGAATTGCCTGCCACCAAACAGACAAATTGGTGAGTGTCCTCCTTCTCCTCTATTCAGGTCGGGAATTGTTGCGTGAGGTAAAAACAGGTTGGGTGATTTTTACCGAGATGCATTTTGTGTTTCGGAAGGCTCGTTCAATTTCATTGTACACATGTTGTGCGTTGAAGTTTGATTTGATTTGATTCAAACGAAAAAGGACAGCACAGCAGAAACGTCAGCCAAGATTCTGAACCAGAGGTGAAGTGCTCCCGGTTCGGCAGAATCGGTAGCGATGGCGGCCGGTGGTTCGGAAAACCAGTAGCGATAGTGGTACGAGGCTTCACCCACCCGCCCGGTCGTTGTTACTTCCTGGTTTTAACCAGGAAGTAACCTGGTTTTTACCCTCTGCGCATGCACAGAAGGGTTTGCGCATGTGCAAAGGATCCACGCGCGCACTTCCGAACCGGTTTTGGAAGGTAAGTAGATTTCACCCCTGGCCTGAACTCTTCTGGTTGCACAACATGTCTGGCAAGTCGAGATGGTTGCAGACCCACATTTCAGCTGCGTTCGGCAGGCACCGTCGCTCGTACTTTTTCACCCAACTCATCTCCTTCAGAATAACAGAGTTGGAAGGGACCTTGGAGGTCTTCTAGTCCAACCCCCTACTCAAATAGAAGACCGGCCTATACCATTTCAGACAAAGAGCTGTCCAAACTCTCTTTAAACACTTCCAGTGATGCAGCACCCACGATGTCTGGAGACAAGTCGTTCCGCCGATTAATTGTTCTCACTGTTAGGAAATTTCTCCTTAGTTCTGGGTTACTTCTCTCCTTGATTGGGCTGAGACGCTTTCTCAAATTACGTTTCTGCCCTGGACTCCGTTTCTCTTATCCGACAGCTGTCTTGCTAGCAATTCTTCCTCCTGTTTCTCAAAGCTATTCCTTCTACCGTTTAGAGAGGGGAAAACCGAGCCAAGCTTTATGCAATACACCGGTATGTGGAAAGTGTATAACAAAGTAACAGAGTCGAAAGGGACCTTGGAGGTCTTCTAGTCCAACCTCCTGCTCAAGCCAGAGACCCTATACCAGTGATGGTTAACCTTTTCGGCACCGAATGCCAAAACCGGAGCACCTGCCAGCGCACCAGATCCCAGAAGACAGCCGCTGGCCAGTGTGCATGTGCCAGCTGCTCTTCCAGGTTTCTTCCTGCACATGTGTGCCACACCGATGCTCTCTTCCAGGTTCCGAAATTTGTGCAAAAACCAGTGCGCGCTGGAATCTGGAAGAGAGCAGCTGCCCGGTTTGCATGCGCACAACGGAACTTAGAAGACCAGCTGGCGATGGCACACATGCCCACAGAGAGGGCTCTGTGTGCCACCTCTGGCACTCGTGCCATAGGTTTGCCATCACGGCCCTATACCATTGCAGACAAATGGTTATCCAATCTCTTCTTAAAAACTTCCAGTGTTGGAGAATTCGCAGCTTCTGGAGGCAAGTTGTTCCACTGGTTAATTGTTCTCACCGTCAGGAAATTTCTCCTTAGTTTTAAGTTGCTTTCTCTCCTTGATTAGTTTCCATCCATTGCTTCTTGTCCTGCTCTCAGGGGCTTTGGAGAATAACAGAGTTGGGAGGGACCTTGGAGGTCTTCTAGTCCAACCCCCTGCTTAGGTCAGGAAATCCTATACCCATGATGGCAAACCTATGGCACGCATGCCACAAGTGGCACGTGGAGCCATATCTGTGGGCATGCGAGCGTTGCCCTAGCTCAGTTCCAGTGCACATGTGTGCACCAGCCAGCTGATTTTCGGGCCTTTCAGGCCTACCAGAAGTCAGGAAACGGGCCATTTCTGGCCTCCGGAGGGCCTCTGGGGTGGGGGAGGCCATTTTCGCCCTCCCCAGGCTCCAGAGGCTTTCTAGAGGCAAAAAACAGGCCTACTGGGCCATCATGTGCCCAAAGCGGGGGAGCGTTCATCCATGCACGGAGACAGGGCGCATTAAATTATGGATGTGGGCATGCACGTGTGCGACCCCCCCCACCGTACTCCCCCCCCCGCTTTTGGCACACGACGGCAAAAAGGTTAGCCATCACTGTCCTATACCATTTCTGACAAATGGATATCCAATCTCTTCTTAAAAACTTTCAAAAACTTTACAACTTCTGGAGCCAAGTTGTTCCACCGATTAATTGTTCTCGCTGTCAGGAAATTTCTCCTTAATTCCAGGTTGCTTCTTTCCTTGATTGGGTTTCCATCCGTTGCTTCTTGTCCTGCCCTCAGGTGCTTTGGAGATTAGCTTGACTCCCTCTTCTTTGTGGCAGCCCCTGAGATACTGGAAGTTAATTGCTCTCACTGTCAGGAAATTTCTCCTTAGCTCTAGGTTGCTTCTCTCCTTGTTTCTGCTCATGCCTGTCACCGAAAACTGAGTCACCACGAATTACCTTTGAGTTGCTACTCCTGCCCTGCGTAATCCCGATCTTGTGCTTCCTTCAGCAAAACCCTCACTTCGCTCCTCCTGATGTCACGTCTCCAGAGGGAAAGGAAACAAAACAGAACTGTTGAAAGCACCACAGGGCAGGAACTGGCTCGAGTTTCAGCTGCCTGGAAAGTTGCAAATCAGGGCCACGCTTGTCAACACAATTAGACTCGCACAAGCCCTGCGTGGCTCTGGAAAGGCTTGGCGACTGCCTCACACCGTGGTTTAATAATTTTACAACCTTCGAGCCAGATAAGATCTTAAATGAGCCAGACGTAAAAATAAAATAAAATAAAATTAGCCCCATGGCTTTGCTTCCTAGCTGTACGGAGGCTGATTCGGCCTACCTGGGTAACTTAAAAGGGTATTCAAAACCTTTGCCAGACCAATTCTTGAATACAGCTCGTCTGCCTGGAATCCACATTGTATATTGGACATTAATACGATTGAGCGGGTCCAGAGGTATTTCACGAGAAGAGTCCTCCACTCCTCTGCTCACAACAGAATCCCTTATGCCACCAGGCTCTAAATTTTCGACAATCTGGAACTGCACCGCCTGTGGTCTGATCTAAGCATAGTACGCAAAATTGTCTGCTACAAGGTCCTACCTGTCAACGACTACTTCAGCTTCAACCTCAATAACACTCAGGCAAACAATAAATGCAAACTCAATGTAAACCGCTTCAAACTCGATTGCAGGAAATACGACTTCAGCAACAGAGTGGTCAATGCCTGGCATGCTCTACCTGAATCTGTTGTTACGTCCTCTAACCCAGCCAGCAGGTTCTGACAGGTTCTTGAGAACTGGTAGCGGAAATTTTGAGCACTTCGGAGAACCGATAGCGGAAATTATGAGCAGTTCGCAAAACTGGCAAATACCACCTCTAGCTGGCTCCAGTGTGGGGTGGGAATGGAGATTTTGCAATATCCTTCCACCAGGGGTAAGGTGGGAAGGGATCTTTTGCAGTATCCTTCCCCTGGAGTGGGGTGGGAATGGAGATTTTGCAATATCCTTCCCCCAGGAGTGGGGAGGGAATGCAGATTTTGCAATATCCTTCCCATGGAGTGGGGTTCGAATGGAGATTTTGCAATATCCTTCCCCTGGAGTGGGGAGGGAATGCAGATTTTGCAATATCCTTCCCCTGGAGTGGGGTTCGAATGGGGATTTTGCAATATCCTTCCCCTGGAATGGGGTGGGAATGGAGATTTTGCAGTATCCTTCCCCTGGAGTGGGGTGGGAATGGAGATTTTGCAGTATCCTTCCCCTGGAGTGGGGTGGGAATGGGGATTTTGCAGTATCCTTCCCCTGGAGTGGGGTTCGAATGGGGATTTTGCAGTATCCTTCCCCTGCCACGCCCAACAAGCCATGCCCACGAAGCCACGCCCACAGAACCAGTACTAAAAAAATTGGATTTCACCACTGCTCTAACCCCACAGCTTCAACCTCAAACTGTCTACTGTGGACCTCACCCCATCCATAAGAGGTGCGTAAAGGGGGCGTGCATAAGCGCACCAGTGTGCCTTCCGTCCCTGTCCTACTGTCCCCGTTTATTTGTACTCCTTTCCCATGTTCATGTCCATGTTTATACTTATACCTGTTATCTTGTACATGTTTGACAAGTAAATAAATACTAAAACCTCTTCCTGTGGGATGGGGAAGGTTTGGGCAGGAAAAGGTGACTGCCAATATCATCCATTCCCCAAAGGAGAAGATTGACAGGTGGCTTATGGAACCGTGACTCCGTGGCTCCAGCCATCCCAGTAGACTTATTCTGAACTTTGACTCCGAAACCATTTCCTTTTTTCAAGTCATCGGAGATACCAGGAAGCAGAAGAAACAACCATGCTGAGCTGGCCACTCCAGGGTAGGACAAATGAGCTCTTTGCTGTCTCACCCAAGTTCTTGGTCTTGGTGAGCTGGATTGCTGGTGATCTTGGATTCCGAAATGCCAGATCTGTTCATGATAAGACCACGTTCATCCCTAACCTGATAGTGGATGAGCAAGTACAGCTGTTGTGTTATCAAACATCTGGTTGGCTAAGGGGGCCATGTTGTCCTCGTGGGAATAAGACCTCCTGAACTTCAGGTCCTTCGGTAGTCTTCAGATGAAGGTTGGGTAGAAGGTGTCCACCTGGGACCAAGAATTCTGCTGTTTAGGCACGAATTACAATAGTTTGTTGAGTTTTTTTTGAAGGGTGGATGGAACAAGCTGGTGTAGCTGTCTTGGTATCCAGAAGAATCCCTTGAGAGGTCTGAGCAAGAAGCTGCTAGCAACCATCACTGGAGTAGCCCCACTTTCTCCTTGCTGCTGCCAGGAAGCCCCTGGAAGGACCAAAGGCTTTAGAAGCAAGAATTAACAATCTCCTGGACAAGGTTGCTCAGCTGTTGTCTGGAGGAAACCTTGGACACTTAGACCTCTGAAAAGGGAGAAGGAGCTCAAAGAAGTAGTTCCTGACTTCAGGAACTCGTGGTATGTCTCAGGACTAGGGAACAACATCTACACCAGGGTTTCTCAACCTTGGCAACTCTAAGGTGCATGGATTTGAACTCTCAGAGTTTAAGAAGTCCACACCTGGCCAAGGTTGAGAAACACTGACCTTATAAGACATCAGACACAGACATTATAGAAATCAACCAACATCTGGAGAACTTCACCTTACCTTGTTGTCCTGCTGGGCCTTGAGAAAGCAAGAACAGCGGGACAGACTGCATAGGCCCCGGGACTTGCACGAGTTGCTGCAAAGTATGAAGAGAATTCACATTCTGAAGGAGAAGAAGACAAGTCAGATACTAGGACACCTTTCCACAACCAGCCCATCACTGGGCAACTGTCCCTCTTCTGCTTCAGATGCACCCTCCTGATTTCTGCTTTCTCCTCTTTCCTAAATAATAACACATTTGCAAATGTGTGGCCATGGTCAGCTTTTAGCTTGAGGAGGAGGGCAGTGGTGGGTTTCAAATTTTTTTACTACCCGTTCTGTGGGTGTGACTTGATGGGCATGGCATGGCTTGGTGGGCATGGCTCAGTGGGCATGGCAGGAGAAGGATACTGTGAAATCTCCATTCCCTCCCCAATCCAGGGGAAGGTTACTGCAAAATCCCCATTTCCTCCCAATCAGCAGAGAATAGATGGGGGCGGGGCCAGTCAGAACTTTTACTACCAGTTCTCCGAACGACTCAAAATTTCCGCTACCGGTTCTCCAGAACTGGTCAGAACCTGCTGAAACCCAGCTCTGGAGCAGGGGTGAAATTCAGCAGGTTCTGACAGGTTCTGGAGAACCGGTAGCAGAAATTTTCAGTAGTTTAGAGAACCGGCAAATACCACCTGTGGCTGGCCCCAGAATGGGGTGGGAATGGAGATTTTGCAGTATCCTTCCCCCCAGGAGTGGGGAGGGAATGGGGATTTTGCAGTATCCTTTCCCTAGGTGTGGGGAGGGAATGGGGATTTTGCAGTATCCTTCCCCCAGGAATGGGGATTTTGCAGTATCCTTCGCCCAGGAGTGGGGTGGGAATGGGGATTTTGCAGTATCCTCCCCCCAGGAGTGGGATGGGAATGGGGATTTTGCAGTATCCTTCCCCTGGAGTGGGGAGGGAATGGGGATTTTGCAGTACCCTTCCCCCAGGAGTGGGGTGGGAATGGAGATTTTGCAGTATTCTTCCCCTGCCGCTCCCACCAAGCCACACACACAGAAACGGTAGTAAAAAAATTTGAATTCCACCACTGTTGAGGAGCAACAGTGGAAGCCCAGGCCATACCGCTGTCATTGAATTAAGCCATTGTTTGTTTAACTAAGGTCTTTTTCTTTTGGGATCACACCTTCTTCCCAATCCCCGACCAGGTTCACACTAATACCCAAAATCCAATCAATCAATCAATCAATCAATCAATCAATCAATCAGCAATGCTCTTTGCATGAATGCCTGGGCTTCTCTATTGGTGTGGCTTTCTCCAAAAGGCGTGGCCCGAAGTGTGAGTCTTAATGTGACACAAGAAGTGGAAACATTAAGGCATCATTAAGCATGACTGGAGAGTCATCATCTTTACTCGCTTGAATTTTAATTAAATTTAAATATAAATGAAAGCAGACTAAATTTAGTTCTCTGGTCCCGCCTTGTTTTGAGGGAGGGTGTCCTTTTGCCACACAAAAGCTCCTCAGGCAGTGAAGACCTTGGACCAGAAAAGGTGCTCCAAACTGCTCCAGAGTTAGGAAACTAACAAAGTTAGTTAGGTTCCCCTCGCACATATGTGCCAGTCGTTCCTGACTCTAGGGGGCAGTGCTCCTCTCCGTTTCAAAGCCGAAGAGCCAGCACTGTCCGAAGACGTCTCCGTGGTCATGTGGCCGGCATGACTCAACGCCAAAGGCGCACGGAATGCTGTTCCCTTCCCACCAAAGGTGGTCCCTATTTTTCTACTTGCACTTTTTACATGCTTTCGAACTGCTAGGTTGGCAGAAGCTGGGACAAGTCACAGGAGCTCACCCCATTACGTGGCACTAGGGATTCGAACCGCTGAACTGCCGACCTTTCGATCGACAAGCTCAGCATCTTAGCCACTGAGCCACCGTGCCATGCATATAAACCCCCCCCCCCTTTAAGTACATAGCTAAATGTCTATGGAGATTCTCAGCCTTCCAAGTCATGATTGTCCCAAATATTCTTTTTCCAAGAGGCAACTGGACTTTCTGGTTTTTCTTTGAAGATGTTTCGCTTCTCATCCAAGAAGCTTCTTCAGCTCTGACTGGATGGTGGGGAAGGAATGAAGGAAGTGAGAAAGAGAAGGAGGGAGGGAGGGGGGAAGGAAGGAAAGGTAGCTAGCTAGATAGCTAGCTACCTAGCTAGCTAGGTAGGAAGGAAGGAAGGAAGGAAGGAAGGAAGGAAGGAAGGAAAGAAGGAAGAAGGAAAAGTGAGAGGGAGGGAGGGAAGAAGGAAGGAAGGACAAGAGGGAAGGAGAAAGAAAAGTGGGAGGGAGGGAGGGAAGAAGGAAGGACAAGAGGAGGGAAGGAAGGACAAGAGGGAAGGAGAAGGAAAAGTGGGAGGGAGGGGTGGAGGGAAGGAAGGAAGGAAGGAAGGAAGGAAGGAAGGAAGGAGAGAGGGAGAGGAAAGAAGGAAGAAACGGAAGTCTATGGAGATTCTTAGTCATCCAGGTTGTCCCAAAGGTGCTTTTTCAAAAGGCAACTGGACTTTTTTGTTTCTCCTTGAAGACTTTTCACTTCTCATCCAAGAAGCTTCTTCAGCTCCTTTGAAAAAACACCCTTGAGACAATCCTTCTTAAGCGACAAATCCTCAAGAAAAGATTCCATCGCTAGGCATTTTCTTCTATTTATATAACCAGAATGTCCTTCCTGCCATCCATGTTAAGACGACACAACCGATTTTATTCCAACGTGGGTCAGAGTCGAAACTATCTTAGTCTGAAGTGCTCCAAGGGTCTTCAGAACAGACCCCCTAGGAAACGCCCCTCCTAGTCTCGAACTTGCCATCTGTGCTTGAATGTGTGAAGAGTGCCATCTCTTACCCCAGGAATTTGTCCTCCAGGCATCATGGAAGATCCCTGGGCTAAGTGACTTGATCTAGAAGAGAGGGACGTTTGCAAGGACTCGCTGAGGTCTTCTGTTTTAATCTGCAAGGGTGAACAAAAGAAGCCATGATGAAAAGAAACCAACATTGAACATCTCTCAAAAAGCATCCAGTTGGAGAATATTATCTGACGGCTTCAACTGACTTGCTGTGGGATTGCAGGGTAGTCAAAGTGATTGGATTGAGCCAGTGCTGAAATCCAATTTTTTTTTACTACCGGTTCTGTGGGCATGGCTTGGTGGACGTGGTGTGGCTTGATGGGCATGGTAGGGGAAGGATACTGCAAAATCCCCATTCCCACCTCACTCTGGGGCCAGCCAGAGGTGGTATTTGCCGGTTCTCCGAACTACTCAAAATTTCTGCTACCGGTTCTCCAGAAACTGCTGGATTTCACCCCTGGATTGAGCCAGCTGTGTGCAGCGGCAGCCAAAAAAGCCAATGCAATCCTAAATTGCATGAACAGAGGGATACAATCAAGATCAAGGGAGGTACTAATGCCACTCTATAAAGCCTTAGTAAGACTACACCTAGAGTACTGCATCCAGTTTCGGTCACCACACTATAAAAAAAGATGTTGAGACTCTAGAAAAAGTGCAGAGAAGAGCAACTAGGATGATGAGGGGACTGGAGGCTAAAACATATGATGAACGGTTGCAGGAATTGGGCATGGCTAGTCTAGTGAAGAGAAGGACCAGGGGAGGCGTGATAGCAGTTTTCCAATATTTGAGGGGCTGCCACAGAGAGGAGGAAGGGGTCAAGCTATTCTCCAAAGCACCTGAAGGCCAGACAAGGAATAATGGATGGAAACTGATCAAGGAGAGATTCAACTTAGAAATAAGAAGAAATTTCCTGACAGTGAGAACAATCAACCAATGGAACAGAAGTTGCCTTCGGAAGTTGTGGGAGCTTCATCACTTGAGACTTTCGAGAAAAGATTGGACTGCCATTTGTCAGAAATGGGGTAGGGTCTCCTGCTTGAGTAAGAGGTTGGACTAGATGACCTATAAGGTCCCTTCCAACTCTATTAATCTGTTAATCTGATTGCTCTTCAATTTATGTCGGGACAATTTATAAAGCAGGGGGAAAAAAAACTGTAGGGAAGAGAGATTTCATGCCTATATTTTCATGGAGATCTCGTTTTTTTCCAGACTGATTTCTAAGGAAATATTTGAACGTTCAACTCAAGAGATTCCCAGCCAACCCTCTTCACAGAACCACTCTTCTTATGAGAGACTTCAAATGCCATTTATGTCTTTATAAAAAAGCAATTCCAATATTTTGCTCCTTAAGCTAACATGAGTTGGAAGAGCACTTGCAATCCTGACTCCGAAGTAATATCCCGTCCATCAGGATGTCCTCCCGCCAATGACATGAATAGTCATAACATTTGAGTAATGACATCCTGATGCACATCATAGCTTGTGCCAGACAGGTCTGTATCAGCCACTTGGTATAATCTCTTTGGAAACAAAGTCAAATGTTTGTCTAATGATGAATGCATTGATAAACAGAGGAAGGAAAAGACAACAGTCGTCTGAAGCATTTGAGATGCCTCCAGAAATTGTGGGTGCTCCAACATTGGAGGTTTTTTTTAAAGAAGAGATTGGACAACCATTTGTCTGAAATGGACCTCCTTGAACAAGGGTAGGTCTAGAAGACCTCCAAAGGTCCCTTCCAACTCTGTTATTCTGAGTTCGGTTGGGTTCAGATTCATGAGCCAAACACAAAACAACCTTCTCCCCATGTCCCCCATCCAACACGTTGGATGGAACATTTGCACATGGAAACCAAGCCCTAGACATTCAGTTGGTTTGTTCTTGATATTGGATGATAAACTATGACTAATTATCATTGAACAATAGATGGAGAACCGGGGTAAATTGGAACCAGAAACTGTTTATGCACAACAAGAAGATTGGTGCAGTTTCTCAAACTGCCTTCTCCTGCGTTGGCTTTCTTCGACCACTCTCCTTACGTCCTACACGTTTTTCTTGGAAGAATCCATGTAGTTAAAATTTTACTCCTTCCAGATTCCTCTGGAGAAGGAAAAGAATGATCACAACTTAACTCTCTCCCAATAAGGGAGCAAGATGTCTCCAACTAGTATTATGGAAGAGAAGGTACTTCAACCTCCTTTGACCTACTCTAGCCTCGTTGACAAAGAATGACGCAAAAGAGGACAGGAGTTAGTCTCCTGCAGCAAAACCCAGCTAAGATGTTTGTGGTTGTGCCTTAAAGAATGAAAAGAACAAAGCAATTTTTTTAAAAAATTGGTGAGCCTTTAAGATGCCATCAAGTTTGTTTCTCTGTGTGTTTGGCTCACAGCGTTTTCTCTTGTCATTCTACCTAAGCATATGGTGCTCAAGGCGACCAGCAGTGAATCCGAAGACCAAACAAGCAAGTTGAAAGCTCAATTAAACAATCATCCACTTAAAACCTGAAACAATAATTATACAATAAAACCATCATCAAAACCACCTAAAAGGATAAACTGGCAAGGATTGCACCTCGATATCCTTTCTGAAGGTCTGGCCCGATGAAACAGTTGTTGATAAAAGCTTACAACTAATTCTGAATATAAGTGCGGTTACTTTGCTGGGGCATACTTCTCGTGGCCAAATAAGTGTTTCATATCTATATAATAAGTCTCCAAACGTCGTCTGATATTTTGAGGGAAACCTTTTTTTAAAAAAAAATTTGATTTATATGCCGCCCTTCTCCGGAGACTCAGGGCGGCTTACAATGTGCTCAGCAATAGCCTTCATCCTTTTGTATATTTATACAAAGTCAGCTTATTGCCCCCACAAACTGGGTCCTCATTTCACCTACCTTAGAAAGGATGGAAGGCTGAGTCGACCTTGAGCCTTGGAGAGATTCGAACCAGCAGTAATTGCAGGCAGCTGTGTTAATAACAGGGTGCTTAGACCACTGTACTATCAAGGCTCTTTGATTCAACCTTGATTCAAGTGAGAATATTCTGGCTATTTTATAGGATGTTATTTCTTTAGTATATCAAATTACATTCTGGAGCAAAATTTAAAAGCTCTTCGATTTAGTATTTTCAGTTGAAAGCTTGAGGAGCCCACTTAGAATTCCGTCAGTGGTATCTACCGTGTTTCCCTGAAAATAAGACCCTATCTTATATTTTTTTTGAACCCCGAAATAAGCCCTTGGCCTTATTTTCGGGGAGGTCTTATTATTTTGGGGCGCATGAAGGAAACCAGAGGAAATGGTGGGGACCGTCTGTGCATGCGTTTAAATATTTTCGGGGAGGGCTTATTTTAGTGCATACGCTCAAAAGCCCGATTGGGCTTATTATCAGGGGATGTCTTATTTTCGGGGAAACAGGTATATGTATGTATGTATAAATAGAATAGAATAGAATAACAGAGTTGGAAGGGACCTTGGAGGTCTTCTAGTCCAACCCCCTGCCCAGGCAGGAAACCCTACACCACTTCAGACAAATGGTTATCCAACATCTTCTTAAAAACTCCCAGTGTTGGAGCATTCACAACTTCTGGAGGCAAGTTGGTCCACTTATTAATTGTTTTCACTGTCAGGAAATTCCTCCTTAGTTCTAAATTGCTTCTCTCCTTGATTGGTTTCCATCCATTGCTTCTTGTCCTGCCCTCAGGTGCTTTGGAGAATAGCTTGACTCCCTCTTCTTTGGGGCAGCCCCTGAGATATTGGAAGACTGCTATCATGTCTCCCCTAGTCCTTCTTTTCATTAAACTAGACATACCCAGTTCCTGCAACCGTTCCTCATATGTTTTAGCCTCCAGTCCCCTAATCATCTTTGTTGCTCTTCTCTGCACTCTTTGTGTGTCTGTGTCTCTGTGTGTATAGATGTGTGTGTATGTCTGAATGTTTACACATATTGTGTGTATAGACATTTGTGTGTGTGTGTGTGTGTGTGTGTATAGACATGTGTGTGTGTGTGTATACACACAGACATATATACATATACACTAATTTTTAGGCTACTCTTTAGGAAGGCTTTCTTAAAAAATATCTATTTTCCCTCTCTACCCAACGGCGTTGGGTAAAAATAGCTAAAAGAATCAACACGCACAATCATAAGCAAACCTTTGCACTTAAAATATTCAGAAACGTCAGAAATAAAAGACGCAAGATGATGGAGCAGGTTCTGCTAAGGAAATGGAGAACTTAAGTCAACACTGTTATTCAATCAAATCTTCAGCTCTTCTGAAGTGATTAATGAACCTGCTTCATCCGAAAAGAAGCACGGAAGCATTGGATGGGATTAAAAGACTTCGTGATCAGATACTTTAGCTCCCAAGGTCTTTCGCCTTGACCCCCCCCCCGGCCCAGATCATCATTTCGTTTTTTTCATCCCGTCATTAGTCTAGGATGATTTTCTTCAGTCGGTCTGAGTCAGCAGGACTCAGCAAGTTTATCCATCATTGCAAAACGGTAAAAGATGAAATATGCAGCCCTCCTCCTTTTCAGCAAATTGCAAAGTCATCTTTCCTAGAGGGGATTGTTCGTTATATTCAGCTTTATTCTCAGTCCCATATGAATGTATTTCATTTGTAATCGGCAGTAAGATTTTTTATTCACCTAAAATGACTGAAGCCTACCATTGCCCCAAATTGTCTTTCACTGTTTTTTTTTTGGTAAATGATTTTTTTTTTGGGTTATTATACAATTAATATTTAAGCTGGGTCAGCCACCTGGGAGAAGGCTCACATGCCCTTTAGATAAAATAATAATAATAATAATAATCCTATAATAGAGTGGAATGGAATGGAATGGAGTGGAATGGAGTGGAGTGGAATGGAATGGAGTGAAAGAGAAGAGAAGAGAAGAGAAGAGAGATTGGAATAAATAAAGAATAAAATGGAATGGAACGAAATGGAATGGAACGGAACGGAACAGAACAGAACAGAATGGAACAGAACGGAACAGAATGGAACAGAATAATGAAATAAGAATAGAAGGGAAGGGAAGGGAAGGGGAGGGAAGGGAAGGGGAGGGGAGAGGAGAGGAGGAGAGGAGAGGAGAAGAGAAGAGAAGAGAAGA